TGTGTTGAACATGATGTGTGGAGCATTCGTTTTGGTAATCAGCTCTGGTTATGCTTTCGTACTTCGTCAGGATATCAGTGAAAATTTTGTTTTCAGGTCTTAACATTCGAACGCCATGAATTTCGTAATTCGAGGCAGGAGTGCCACTGACCTGCAAACTTGTGTTCTTGTCAATAAGCTTCTTTTTCCCCATGTCTACCAATAGGCTGTAAGCACCAAGAAAGTCGGCCCCGAGAATGGGTTGTTTAATTTCAGCTACGATGAAAACCCATGTGAAACGTCTACGGAGACCAAAATCTAAGATGAGTGATTGTTCACCATAAGTTTTAATGACTGTGTTATTAGCAGCGACTAGAGACAATTTAGTACTTTGCGAGTGCCGTCGTTGAGAAAGGTGTAATGGGACTATGCTGATTTCGGCTCCTGTATCGACCAAAAAATCTGAGCCCGAAATCCGATCCCTGACGTGAAATAGACGGCTCGGGTAGTGGCCAGAAACAGGCGCCGCCATCACTGTCTGGCCGTCTCGTTTCCCTGGTCCTTTGAGTTGCTTATTTTAAAGTTGCATGGTTTAGTGCAACGGCGTGCCTTCTCCCCGAAAGTCGCGTGATACCAGCAAGTATCTGATGTCCGTTTGGGTGACCTAAGACGAGGTCTGCATACTGATCTCCTTCTGGACCTAGATCTGGCAGGTCGAGAATGGATGGTAGAAATAGTCGCTTGCAGTGCTGCTAGCTGTTGTGTTAACTGTGTTATTTGTTGTTGGATGCTGTTAGATGGGCTAATCGTGTCTCCACTAGAGGTCTGTAGTACATTCAAACGTTGGCTGTCGGGATAAATCTCCATCATTTTGTCAGCCATATCAGCTAGATCGTCGAGATTGACGGAAGTTCCTGATATGCTGAGAATTTGGGTGACATTCTGTGGTAAACGTTGAAACCACATCTGTTTAAGCAATGCATCGTCTACCTTATATGGCCCTGCTAAGTGTTTCATATGTCGGAGTAATTGCGAGGGTCTCTTGTCCCCCAATTCGCAAGAAGTTAGCAATTGCTGCAGTCTTCTCTCGTCTGAAACCGAGGTGCGTTGGATTACGGCTGTCTTTAATTTATCATAAGGTTCAGCTTCTGGCACGTGATCGATTAAATCTCCGACTTCCGCAGCAATCTCGATAGGGAGTGCCCCAACTACATAAGCATACTTTGTTGCCTGAGATTTTATACATCTAGCCATGAACAAAGCTTCGATTTGTGCAAACCAGATTCTTGGATTATTAACGCCGAACGTTGGTAGTCTTAAGTCTGAAATTGCGTTGATCGAGGTTAAGGCATTATCTTCTGATTGTGAAGAGTTCAAGGAGTTGATCAGTGGACTATCTATATCAATGAGTTTACCAGGAGAGTTCATGATGGCGAAAATAAATATAAATGAACTAGCGTGCCAAGTAATAAAAAAATGAATATATATATAAACAGTAAACGTCTATAATGAATTCAAGGCTCACCAAATAATTGTGGTGGACCAAACAGATATGAACACAAAAAATATAAACGAAGTTATTTAAATCAATAGTAATATTAATATATATAATTAATTGTCACAAATACAATAAAAATTGGGGACGTTACTTAAATTGATCAGACGTCGCGTGTTAGGATTAGGTCCAGTAAAGTAAATCCACAATTATAAATGTTTGTTGATTCTGAACAAGTTGGTGAACTCTCTAATGATATAATCCAACGTTGAATGTGATATATTTCGGTTACAGTCTATAAATGAAGATAGAATTTGATTTAGACTTCGGATATCTCAATCACAAATGGAAATAGAACGATGAGTGTGCGAGAAGCATTGTATTTGTTAGCCAGCAGCGATATGTCACGCAATGTAGTAGTACAACGGAAAGTGTGTTCAAGGTCATTTACTAAAACAACAGTTACAGTCATTTAATGTTAAATATACATACAGTAGAAGGTTGACAAAGTAAATACAAATAACATTGAAAGCTATTTACAAAATAAGCTTGACAGGTCCATCTCCACAATATACATGAAGATCAGCAATGACCTCGAAAATGTACCCTGAAACACTCCGCTAATCACAGTTTCAAAGCTAGACAACTTGGAGTTCACCTATACTCTTTATTGACGCCCAGCTAGGATGTCTTTTGTGTACATTTTTAAACTGCCTCCGAACACAATAGCCCTTAACTTATATCACAACCAGTCGAGAGGATCTTTGTCAAGAGCCTTGCTGAATTCAATGCAGGCTACATCTACAGGTGGATTTTTATATTTAAAAGTGCACTGACATTGAAGGACTACTCATGAGTTTATGAGACATGAGTAACCTGCTCTAAATACGTGCTAATTCTCAGAAAGAACCCAGTTCTTGCCAAGTTACTTAAAGCAATTCCTTTCGACAATCCTTTCTAAAATTTCAAAAATCATTCTAGTTAGGCTACCGAGTCGAAATTTATCAGGTTTATATCTCGTGGTTGCTTTGATGATAAGACTTACAAAAGCATTCGTCTATTTTCTTATCAATCAACCCTGGGTTACAGATAGATTAGAAAATACTCTTAAAAGATTCTCGACGAAATTCGCTTACTCCTTTAGTAACTCAGTATGCATTTCATCAATTCTCATGGATTTCCATATATCAAGATGTCAAGTACTTTACTAATCACAGTGTATGGAGTGTGTGTAGATGGTTGTTAGAAATGGTGGGGAGGGCGTCTTTGCGGTACATACATTGCTGAAGTAATTTGAAAATACATTTATTATTATTTGAGTTATGGGCTGTACCCAGTGGCTTCTTTCACATGTTGCTCTTGGGCACATGTGATTACCTCATCAATTGGTTTTCGTCTGAAAGAGTTTTATGACAATTCAGTCTTCAGATTTTTCCAGTCTACCATAGGTGCATTAAATTGTTCCAAGGTTAAACACTGATCACTTAATGAATAATTGTTGAAACCTCTTAGCAAAACCTCATTCACCTCACAGGTTGGACTGCCGCAGACGGAATTAATCAGCAGCTCTTGTCCTTTGTATTTCAATTGACAACTAGCTTATTCGCACGTCACACTTCAATTCCATCTGTTGTCGAAAACGGCAAACAGGATAGTTTTTCTAACGAACAGAACTACTCCTCCCTTGTACTTCTGGATCCTATTAGTTGTTACTAATGTGAAACTTCAAAAAACAAGTTCCCTAATATGTACAGACAGAATCAACCGAGTTTCTGCAAAAGCAATAAAATTCAGCTCATTAGAGATCATCCAGAAGCACTAGTTGGTTTAGTAGATCATTTATCACCCCAATGTCATGTTCAGCACGAGTTTTGAGCTTTCACTCTCCTTGACTAAATGAGAGACAGCTGACCTTTCACCATGGTCAATCTTCAAGTTCTTAACTATTGGTCTTTCCTTTAGCAACATTAGGTTGTATCTTATATCTGTTTTGTACCCATTTATTAGCTTTCATTGGAGTAGCAATCAAAGTCAAGTTACACACAGTGTGGGATCCTGGATGACTACCGACAGATTGTGCATCTAGGTTGTTGTTCCTGTTAGAAACGGACCTAAAAATACATTGAGGTTTTCTAGGCGTTTCCTGCTCGTTGAAATTTGGAGAGCGGTGGATACAAAAAACTTCAATACTAAGGCTTTTATTTTAAATAAATCTCTTTATAAGTCGCCCTCAATCCGTTGGCCCATGTTATTCAATCGACTCAGAACTTATTCAGTGTAACTTCACATGAATTTGCGTATCGGTCGAACGAGTACTGTTTGATGTGCCTCGATTACGCATGGTAATATTCCTTCAAGCAGCATCCCCTCACTTTAGTGGCTTCGCGTTCTAACAGTGTTTGTAACACAACCACAAGCAATTATCTTAACAAGCCGTTTGAAAGCCACAGGGGTCTTTTTCGTAGAAAATTCGTGGTACCATGATTTGCACTCATTGCACTGTATGCCACATTGAACAGTGCACCAACAGCGTGAGCACTGACTATTGCTTTTTTACACCGATTAGTCAATAGTCGGAGGTTTTTAAAAAGAAACTGAGCGCGAACTATACCCAAAGAGAAAATGGTCAGAAAAAGTGAAAAACTAATTTTTTGGAACCAAAAGTGCAAACAAATACATAAAGAACCAATGTACTCAAAAGTTGCTGATGATAAAATACTTCCAACAAAACGATACTCTTGACGAATACTGACGGAAATAAATCCAGTTAAAGCGAACAGAATAGTCAAGATGCATAACAAACGATCAAAGCAATAAAATTAGCTCAACGAGGAAAATTACGATTGTTCTCCTTAAAGAGCGGGGCTAAGCGTTTTTATATCCCATTTACGTAAGGCTGAACCTAGACTACTGTATCCAAGTGTCCATTCCACGTCTTATGAAGGATATTGACTCAATCGAATGAGTTCAGTGTGTATGAGCACAAGTAGTGAAGGGTCTTTCCAAACTTCCATAAGCCGAGCGCTTAAATCTCTAGAAATTTTCCCCTTGATCATATCGGAGAACGCGTGATGACCTTATATTGTAACCTCATATCTTTAATAACGATGTTATCCTTAATATATCTCATCGTTTTACTCCCTCTAGAAATAATCACTTCTGAGTCCATTCTGAGAAGGTTCAATTACCGCGATCTCATAAATTTAGAATGAGTTTTCGTTTTTCCCACCGAATAGTCAGTATCTAGAACGCTTTTGTTGAACGTGGTATCAGCGCCATCAAGAAGCATTTTTAAGGAGAAGACGAATCTTCACTGAAAAACAAGCTGCAAACATTAACACAGGTCCATAGATATATTATCCTGAAGAATTGTTTCCTGGAAAAAGCTTTCAGAAAACCTTTTATAATTATTTCGAAAAAAATTACATCAAAATATATTTGGCTCTCCTTCAGGAAATAAGTGGAAAAGTGCCTAGAAATTCTTGGTAAACATTGGGCTTTGTTGATAACCTAAGCTATCTTCAAGGTCAGTTTGGAGCTCAAATTTTGTTTTTGTTTCACGTAAGTGTTGCAAATCTGGGCGGCTTAATATGGAATATCACCTTGCTCAATTTAGTCGTCTTATTAATTTTAAGCACTACTAGTCAATGTTATATGTGTCGATTTCTGGTCGGTCGAGTAGATAGATAAGTGTTATTGAGTAATAACCTATAGTCCGCGCAGGACACATTTAGCACTTTGGCAAGGAACTTCCCAGCACGTCATATAATCCTTACCACAAACATACGAGATGACTCGTCAAGACTTGCATGAGAACGTGCTTGGATTCAACGTTGAGTTCCAACGAGAACCCAATAAGACATTGCGACATTTCCTTTTGTCACAGTGGGTTTGAAATGTCTCTGAATCTACACCTTATTGTCTACTTATCGCTTAAATACACACCGACTTGTTTACTTTTCTCCTCCGTTCATGCACGATTATTTTTTAGCCCAAATACCTATGTTATTTACTTCCATCACAAAAAGCATTTAAACACAGTATACTGCATTTAAAAATAATACTGTTTTAAAGAAATATTTGCAAGAGGTGGGTTCACAGTTTACGAGATCAATAGCTGGCAAGTGTTCGTTACACGTCTTTGTTAGTGTAAAGCTTTGCTTTCATTGACAACTTTAAGGTTAGAAGTGACGATATAATTTATGGGTGGCATTTGGGCTTTCCGTGTTTAAAATGAGATCATAAGTTAATGTGAAAAGTTAGCATTATGAATCACGGTTAGAAATTAGAATTAGGTCTTCACAAATTGATAACAGCCATTATGCCAGAATACTGTTAATCCATATAGACGAGTGAATTTCGCGCCGAAGTTCAAGTGGTTATATGTGGAACTTGGCTGATTCTTTTATTAATTGTAGTTCCTATGAGACGAACAAAAATAAGAAACCTCAGTGTTGGTTCGTACAATCAGATATGAATAGATATAAGCCCTCAATATTTTAGCTTTTTCTGCAGAAGTTTTAAAATGTTTTTTAAATTCAGTCATACTCCGATGTGTGCTACTGATGTCGATATATATGTGGTGTCACTAATCAGAAGTAGAATGCCTAGCGGAAAAAGGCTGGGAAGATCGAAAAAAGGAGAACGAGAACAGAGTGATTAGTATGAAAAAAGGAACAAAAATTCCGGAACAATTGATGAGTATTTTGCAAATGAAATACCTACTGTATGATTGTTGGTTTTGTTCTGTTCCTTTTTTACAGATAAAGGTACTAAAAAAATATTCCACTCTTAGTTTTTGCTATCACACCTTTAATGTTCTTTATTTTTAGGTAATACACCAAATACGTTTCTTGGGATACATTGGAAATGGATTCACTTTTGGCAAATATAAAATACTCAAGGGCCGCAATTATTCCCTTAATGAGTTTTGCGAAGAAATGGTAAGCACAATATTGATCAAGTACTTACATTACCAGGCGCCGACCAGCTACAGCTTGGACCATTACCGCTGGTATGCTGTTCGTTTATATTACCGATTGGAAAACAATATGCACTCGGATTCCATTTTATAATCGTAAATTCTTGGATTCAGATAAATGAAACATTGTTTAATTTCGAAGTGACCCGAAGACTTAAAAATAAGGAAGCACGCATTTCCTCAGAAATTCTTCCAGTCAACTAGTTGATACTATAGCACAGTGGTCTAAACATTTAGCATATTCCACAATACATATTTGTTAGAATTAAAACCTTTAAAAAGAATAAATTGTTTCATTTTGTTTCTTTAATTATTGTTTCCCTTAAAAATATCAGCGAAAGTGTTAAGTCTATTTGTTCTCAGGACACTTCCAAATACTTTGTTAATTTTAGGAAACGCGACTATATTTAAACAATTAGTGCAACTATTAAATAATGGAGAATTGTGTACTAAAATGAAAATACTTTGGGATAAACAAGTTTGCTACCTTCAAGTAGTCAGATGAATTATTTAGTAAATCACGAGACAATAATCTTATTTTATTTGGACGCATAAATATTGTTAAGAAGGGGCATCGAATACATATGCGCCACACAAGTCGCTTGATTTGTGTGTAGGCTGTGTGGAATGAAATAATTAAGTCCTTATTTGTTAAAATAACTGCGTTATTGCGATTAGTTTCGAGCTGCATCCTCATAAAACCTACCCGTCTCAAACAGTTGTCGACTATCATTGTTGTGCTAATCATCCTTAAATTTATCATCTAATTATGGAATAGCCTATAATCTAACATGGTTTTTAGCTAGCCACTTCAGCCGTTTTCGCTGTTTTATTCGTTCTATTTAATTTGTCCTACGTGAGCAAAATACTAAGACTCGTAATGTTTATTTTGTAACGATCCCGCACAGATCCTGTATCTTATCAGAAAGATCTCTGATTCACACGTATTTTAGATCCAATCTTATCATAAAATCTCTATGTAATTTTGTGGGCCATAATAAAAGATATTTTAGGTTGGTTTTCGTGTTATGATTGGTCATAACAGAGACAGGAGCTCGGGAGAGAAATAATTTTAATAATTTCCTACAGTTGTTGACAGTCACTGTGCCACCTGTTAGTGGGCCGAAAAAAGAATTATTCTTCTTTATTGAGATCACGAACCAATCCAGGTTAGACTGGTATTGAAAATCTAGGACTTTCCGTCCTAGTGTTAGGCACGTCAGCGGTGTATCGACAACTGGAACTGTTCTCGCACGCGAACGCCTCACCTCTAGACAATTGGTCTGGAACCCAATGATGTTTGGTTGCACAATATTGTGGATTTATTGAAGTTAACCTTGAACACCATTTGATCACGACTTTGTGGTTTAGAGGTAAACATCCGCGCACGAGGGTCCCGGACTTGGTTCCCGTTGTGAAGCCATGGACACGCAAGGCTGGTAAGCCCCATTCTAGGAAAAAATAGACGTTTAGTGCTCCTAGCATTTTAATAGTTATGAGATGTTGGTCGGTTTGTGGTTTCAATAAAATTCAGAAACCTCAATTCTATACTGACGATTCTATTTAGACGATATATATAATGTTGGATTCACAATGAGACCATATTTCTTACGTACAGTTTTTTCCACTTCAACGTCAGTAATTCATCTTGTTAATTTAATTCCATCCTGGTATGATGTTGTAACTGGAATCGATTCATATTATTTGCGCGAGGTTTCAGGTTATTAAGTGACTACTGAAAAGCAACAAGTTTGAACTATTTCATTTTGACCAAACAGAAGTTGAAGACTGAATATTTTATAAACTGAATATTCATTTTAGTACTTTTTTGTAAATAAAAAACACATCAAAAATACTCTTTCTGAATTTCCGGAAGTAAGACTTTAAAAAAAAACAGTAATGATGACAATGAGACATGATAATGTTCTTCATTATCTTCATCATATGGGGGTTATTGTAAAATTACTTATAGATTTAATCGAGAGAATAAATGGTCCTTCTTGGCCAGGTCGATAAGTGGAAACAATTACATTGTATACACCACCAGAGAGACCAGCTTGTTCTAGAACAACATATCCTCTTCTGTAAATAAATAAGAGAATTTAAAGCCATGGACTATTGAAAATGGGGTAATAAGAAAATTATTGGCAGAATGTGTAACAAAAACATTAAATATATATCACAAATGTTACTCATTTTCATTATAATGAATATTGCAAAATCAACCGATTTGACAGAATTAACGAAGTATTTTAGCTGTTCACATGATCGACCCCAAGTAGATGATAGATTATAGGAATTCAAAGATAGTATTAGTTTACAAAATATTTAGCGAAAGCATAAGTCTATGAGTTGACTGTTAGATAACAAATGAATAAACAATTCTGAAAACGGAAGGTCACAACAAAGTAATCAATAAACTTTCGCTGCCGCTCGACGTAACTGAGAAGTCTTATATTCCTTTTTGTAAACAATAGGCAAAATATATACGGAATCGAATGTAAAACAGATATTTGACAATAATAATGTGGAATTAAATGTCCAGTATATTGTATAAATTTCTAATACTGGTTAATAAAACAAACTAGTAAATCTGATGATAAGATTGTTAATCTTTACCGACTGAGGTGGTTGGGAATTGAGTTGCTTATGCCCAACAATCGCTTACCGCAACAAGTGATCCTAGTTGTAGATTCAAGTTCAAAGTAAGCTAGAGGGTGGCCAAATAAAAATGCGGTATTTATAATTTCATAGACTGTTGGTCTTACTCGTGTTGGGATCCTATCAGTTACCATAACTAATGGTTTCCGATACCTCAGGATTTGTTCCAGTACAACAGATGCACTCACTCTTTATCGTGTGTCATATCTTCAGTTTTAAAATTGTCTGCCACTTATTCTGCGAATTTATTTCATATTGTCTATACCAGTCCTATGCTGCTTTCTCTCATACAATTACACTATGTCATACACTGACCACCTCTCCGATTTTTCCAACCAGTCCTAGAGTCGGCAAATAATGCACGACGTGGAATTCTCTGGGACGACATTCGTAGAACATATCCAAGCCACCGAAGTCGGTGTTTCAAGATAGTGACACCAATTGACTTATCGTCTCTGCGCCCGGACACACGATGCCGAACCTCTGCATTACTGACATGGTGTTGCCACTGGATGTCAGCAATTCTTCGAAAACAACGATTTTCATAGGCATAGAGTGAAACTGCTCTCACCGACGCGTTGCAGATCCGACCTTTTACAGCCAGACTAACGTCACGAAGGCGCTAAAGATGATCCAGATTGGCATAAGCCAATCTAGCTTTCGCTATACGTGCGTTGATCTCATCACTTACGCCACCACCAGCACTTATGCAGCTACCCAGATACACGAACTTCTCAACTACTTCTATCTGCTCACCATCCAGTCTTGTAGAAGTACTTTGCACTTCGAAGGTGCAAAGCACATACCATACCTACGGACACTGATTGCCAACTGATTAAGTACGATTGCATGGTTTGGGCATTATCGCACAGTAAGACAATATCATCCGCATACTCAAGGTCGATAAGTCTTTCGCCAGGCAACAGATCCACACCACCATTACTTAAGTCCATCAGCGCTGTTTCCAGAATGTCATCGATGGCAAAGTTGAAGAGGAATGGTGAGATTGGGCAACCCTGTCTAACTCCACTGCTCGAATGGAACAATGGAGAGAGGTGGTTGTATGCCCTCACTCTGTCTGAGGTGTTTGTATATAGGGCTTTTGGGATGTTAATAAACTTCTCAGGCACACCCCTCTTCAATAGACAATCCCAGAGAACAGTCCTATCCAACGAATCGAAGGCAGCCCTGATGTCAAGAAACACTACGATTGTTGGCCTTTGATAAGTATGGCGGTGTTCTAACATTTGGCGGAGGGTGAAGATATGATCGATACATCCTCGACCAGGACGAAAACCAGCCTGCTCCTTGAGAGTCAATCTTTCTCGGGTTTTGAACAACCTACGAAGTATGACGGAAGCCAATAGCTTGGACGCAATCGGAAGTAGACTTATCCCTCAATAGTTGTTACAGGAACGACGTGAACCCTTTTTAAAGATAGGGACAACTATCGACTCATTCCATGACGTTAGTACACTCTCTAACACCCAAACCTTTGTAAACAACGTCGTCAGTTCCTTAGTCAGGAAGTCACCACCATCTTTAAAAAGAGCCGGAGGTAAGTCATCTGGGCCTGGTGATTTGTAGCGTTTCAAGAGTTGGACTTCCTTGCGGACTTCCGCATCAATTGGTGGATCAATCGCCACCGGCCATGGAGGGCAGGACAGTCTGACCGATGTTGCCGGAGCAGCAGGCCAGTTGAACTGCCCTTCGAAGAATTCTGCCCATCGTCCAAAACGTCGGTGGATGTTAGTGATTGGCATCCCGTCATCCTCGCAGATTGTTTCGCTCACACCAGACTCCTTGCTGCCAGTGGCTCGGACGAATTGAAAGAGCTTCCGGTAATTACCAGATTCAGCTGCTGATTCCAACTCATTAGCATGCTCCTAAAAGCAGGCTTCTCGGTCCTTACGCAAGCTTCGCCCAATTTCCTTACGTAACTTCCTTCGTTTGCGGTCAAACTCACGGTTACCTGGAGTAGACCGACGGGCTTCAATGAGTTGTAAGGAACCAAAAAAAACCCAGTGCTTATAAGCTGGACGTTTCGCGAACCCACAACTGACTGTTCCCGCCATTTTCATGGCGTCATGCAATTGCAACCAGTGTTCATCTATACTTTTCGGTGGAATGGTAGCTAGCCTAGAGGCTAGCACGTTTGATACTTAGTTGCAACAGAAGTTGCAATCAGCTTACTGACATCAAACAATTTAACACGATGAATTCGTTGGCCACTGAAAAGCAAAGTAACATTGGCGCAAACAAGGGCATGATCGGAGTTCAGATAGGTACTCCAAAAGGAGTGGCAGTCTTGTACACAACCACGTCAGCGGTAGCTGATCGCGATGTGATCAATCTGAGTCCAGGCTTAAGATGCAGAGGGAGGATGCCAGGTGGCACGTCGGCGATGACTGTGCCGAAAGTTAGTGCTAGCCAGAAACAGGTAGTCTGTGCACAGTTGCAGTAAATGGTCCCCGTTATCTGTCCTGTGACCAACAAGTCCCCATCGACCACCTAAGCGCTAGTACTACAATATCTGTCGAACGCACTTTCTGGAGAAGAACAGATAACTAGTGGTGAAACTCATCCTTGATTGCATCCGGGCTGCAATCTGTCAGGGCATAGGCGGAGATGACGAAAAGACATCGTTTCTCACGCCGATTTCTTCTCACTTTGATGGAACTTTCTAATCTGACAGCACATAACCGACTGCTAATGGGGATCCAATCGATTAGTGCTGCCTCAGCTCTAGCGTTTAGTGCGACACCAACGCCAGTAAAACCAGACGAAGACGCAACAGGGTCCCCGGACAAACGCACGTAAAACAAGCCTTTTGAAGCGAGAAATGGAGAGCGAATTTGTAGCACTTCACCAGAGTCTTGAATACGGGTCTCAGATAGACAGCAAAAGTCGATATTAAGATTTTCCAAAGACATAGCCAGCCCTATCTGTTGTCCGGCCTGCATAAGTGTTCGAACGTTGGAGGAAGCCAGTTTGAATGGTGCATGTGGTTTCAGAAAGACTTTCAGTGTTCCTATTCAGTGGAAGCATTCAACATTCGACCAGGCAGTGACTCGAGATAGTTTAGATAGAATAAAGTTTCCACTATAGGCGAGCTGCTGTATAAGTAAAAAAAATAGGGGTATGTGAAGTGAGAATAAAAATTGATAAGTGATGTAGTATATAAAGAAAAACAGTAATAATAATAAAGATGAGTGATATCAAGAGAAAGTGAAATGTCTTAGTTCTGATCGGAGCGAGAATAGTATTTTGTTAAATACGTCATCTTATCAAACATGTGTGAAGGCTGTGCCCGGGTGCCCAAACCGAAGCAGGTGGCTTTCTTAGCGCGCCACACCCAGAGCCTTCGACTTAAAGGTCTGATCCACAAGGCAGTGGAGCATCGTAGGGAGATGTAGTCCCATGGTAGCCGGGGACCAACAGTTGATGCTTACGCCATTTGTTCCCTCAAGATACTGGAGCCCATGTGCACCATTGGTTTGGAATCAGGGTTTCCAAACTCCCCTAGGTGGACTCTCCGTGTCCACCAACCCGGTTAAAGTGTCGGGGTTTTGTTATATACCAACTGACGCTTTTTAACAAAACGAACCTATAAGCTTGAACTTTTCCTTGATAATAGGTCACTTAATCTAGTGGCCACATTTCGAATTGATTGAGAGGATTTAATCAATAACTAGGAACTAGAAAAACATGATATTCGTTGCCACTGACCAAACACAATTAACATTATCGTTATTCACTGTACGTTGCCCCCAAATGCCCTGGTACGGCCGAGAGTGGGGATAGTTCACTCTTCCTCTCTAAATGCTCTCACATGGTCACGCGTATATAGCCTCTGCCAGGGAAGTCCTATTCACTGCCTTCTCGTGGTGGGGGTGCTGTTTACGAAAATGAGAGGACGAAAAGCGAATGTCCGGCGCTTTAACCGGATTCCAAATCAATGGTGCACATGGGCTCCAGTATCCTGAGAGAACAAATGGCGTATGAACCAATTGTTGGTCACCGGCTTCCATGGGACTGCATCTTCTTACGATGCTCCACTGTCTTGTGGATCAGACCTTCAGGTCGAAGGCTCCGGGTGTGGCCCCCTAAGAAAACCACCTGTTTCGGTTTGGGCACCCGGGCAGTATCACAGCCCTCACACATATCGAATGAGATTTGTGTGGCGCATATGTATTTGGTGCCTCTTTGTACAAACACCTATGTGTTGAAATAAAATAAAATCACTGTACGTTAAAAGTTTTAGACCATTTAAAGTTTGGGAGATTTCTGCCCAAATGGTTAACTGAATCGTTATCCATGAGAGCTTTGTCTATGGTTTAAATTATTATATACCACAATAGGAACATTACAGATGGACTGATAACCAACTGATCACTGAGTAGCGATCAGTGTTGCGTTTGTTTTGGATACTGATAGAATTCCATCGAATGAGTTGCGATGAGGCCATCAGCCTACATGACTCCACATTTCATGCACTGTGTTGAGATGTCAAGTATTTGGGATTAGTCTGCAGGAAATCTTATGTTATGGCTCAAAGCCGCCAATCAGAAGCAGCGAATTATCGATCGGACCAAGGACGCACAAAACACGTGCGAGCAGCCGAGAGTCTTGATTGGTCCTGTTTCCGTCTAGCCCAGCCAGTTAAGTCCAGAACACCAGTCTCAGCCTCTGCAATATGAATCCTTATATTTCAAACATACTGAGTTTATATACCAATCAAATAGACCACAACGTAGCATAAAATAGAAAATAACATTTGTACAACATTTGGCCAAATGTAGCTGCGAATGTGGGAGGCAGTGACTAATAGACAGGACATAATTCAAGAATGGTAAAACGTATAATAATGGTTCATAGGTCAACATAAAGCTTATAATAAGTGGAACATGAATATGAATAGTTTAGCTATTTAACAATTATACGATAAAAATATACGTTTGGTATTGGTCCATAAAAGGATCCCAAAGTTACCATTCATTATGTTTATCGGGACCTAACACCCTACTTGAACTAAGTTTCGTGTTAGTAAACACTCGTCTACAAGAGATGCCTTTAATCTTGATGAAACCGATTATTTCTAGTAGATCCAAGCACACGTCGGTATCTTATAGATATGTATAGCTGACGAGTTCCAGCTGGCACGAAACATGAATCTAGAGATTCCTACCGGATACCTCCAACTACTTAGCAAAAGCTTATGATTTATACTGTTCAGTTAGCAGAAATATTGCAATCCTCCACATGAGGTCAGTCGCAGCCCCGGTGTTAACATAATTCTAACTGGCTCACTAGGCGATGTGCGAATTATCAGTCCTCTTAAGATTGGGGAAATGAACTTGCCAATCAGCGCAATAAAGTTCGAACAGAAATCCTTCCTGATAGCTTTCAGCAACGGCCTAAAAGCACTTATTCCTCTATTAAGTAGGTCGAATAAGGAATAAGTTAAATAAAAAATCTAGTTAAACTACTTAGTGTGAAGTCGGAAGTGTTTGACATCCACTACAAACTACATACTAAGAACTAAAACTGTAAAATAAGCTAATTGAATACGGCTAATGTAACTGAATGACGGAGTACACATGTTCACATACATAAACTAGGTCACAAGCTTATTATGTGGACTATTGATTTTAATCGAATGTTCGGACCCACGTAGGTAGAGAAAGGGGGTAGAAACTATGACTAAAATTAAGAATCTGTTAAATATAAATGTCAATTGGATATTTTTTTACCAGAATAAATTACCTGTAATCTCCAGTAGTTGATCGATTTTGCTGATTGGGTGCTTGATCATTTGTAGCAGATATACGAATTAATTCTAAGCCCAGTGCATAATCTCTGTAAAAATAGGTGATAAAATAATCAAAATACTGTCAAGTAATTTTCAATGCGAGGAGTAGTTACCGCTAGTATAAGTTGTGTTGACAGACTCCAAATGACCACATAGCCACAGGTTTGTGTATTCTATTTATGGTGTACCGTACCATTAATCACTTTATTATGAACAATATTTATTGGGTGTCATATGAAGTTTGCTTTATATATATATATATATATATATATATATATATATATATATATATATATATATATAGAGAGAGAGAGAGAGAGAGAGAGAGAGAGATAGAGAGAGAGAGAGAGAGTCATTGTATTCCTCTAACATTCTGGTTAGCATAGAATGGATCAAAAGTCAGAGGCCATCAAACCAAGATGTGAGATCAGTAGCTAAAGTCATTGACTGATAATTTGAGGCACATTAGTAGGTGTTAACTATCCGTTTACGAGACCTTGAGTGAACTATTTTGAAATCGTTCTCAATGGGCCAGATGCATTTATTCTGTCTTTACCTAGGTTCTGCGTTTTAATACCACCTGATACTTCCACTTAGCTAATTAATTCCTTTCTTTCCAAACCATATTCTGTGTATTTAATCTCTTTTTAACTATCATTTGAACTTGTATTATTTGGACTGTTTATCTAATCATCTCATTGTGTTGATATACTTCGACATCTAGAACGGTAGAACACATTTACACGAGGTTTTACGCTGATTATATAACTTACTGACTTAATCTTTTCTTTTTGATGAAAACAACTACCTTATTTGTCGAATAAACATTTCAAGTGAAAAGTCCTGTTGGCGTTTTACTTTTCCTCAAAAATGTAGTTATATATATATCGAGAGAGAAAGAATGGTAGGCAAATATATGTATATAAACGACTACCTTGGTCCACGCAATTCAATCAAAAGCTGATTATCACAATTATTATTTGGTACATTAATTTCAAATCGTGGATTAGTTCTATAACTTTCTTTGTCATTTATGCAGCCACCAGCATTTGATCCTTTCCACTCACCAGTAATCTACAATACAATTTTTTTAAAAAGGAAGCATAAAATATATGCAACAATCGGAAATTCAGAAAAAATATTTATTCATTGTATTATTATTATTATTATTATTATTATTATTATTATTATGGAATTATGTTAGTAAGGGTATGATACAGACTATTGCATATCCTTTCAAAGGTTAACTCATGAACTGATCTTACTAAGACAATAATTATCATTACTGTTGCGAATGGAATTATCAGTACACAATGTTTTGACAACCTTATTTTATGAAACAAGAAAAAAATGTGAATAACTGCATACATTTATACATGAAATAAGTAAATGAAACAATCTGGAAATCGATGAATCTTTTTTAAATAAAAATAAAAATTTGTACAACTTTTCATTAGCGATATATTTAAGGATACAAGTTAGTGATTAGGTCAGCCCTTACAACCTGTTCGTCACGTAGTATATTTGCGAGATAAGTGTTGTATAGTTTTTATATCTTTGCTTGCGTGCACGAATTTGAATGAAATAGCGTCTCGTTCTACAAGAAGATATACAAGGAGGCAGATGTAAATGAAATGGATGGTTAGTATCTGGCAAGATTTTAAATGTCTATCCGCAACCATATACATAATAAGCCCAAAAATTTATCACAAATCCTGGTAAATGCGTTCAGCGCTCTCCGCAATACGGCAAAATCTTTTCTCGAAAGCCCAGGAAAGAATAATGGGGAATAGTAAAGAACAACACATTATAATAATTAAACCATAAAAATAAATACGGAACAATGCCAAAAACATGTGGTCTGTTTGTATAGTAATTCAATAAAAGATTTTCCTCAATATCAATAAAGCATGAATAGATTAAGAGATCAGAAGAAAAACTTAGACCAAAATAAATGACCTTTGACACCGTTTTTGTCAAAGAATATTACTACAAGCTTTTTGGGATGTTTAAGTGTTATTCATGTTTAAGACTAAAATTAACATGTAGAAGGATTACGTGTGAGACCATTGTTCAATGAGAGACAAGAACTCATCCATTGTAAGGGGATGTGAAGAGGTAGAAATCGATGTGCATATAGTGAGATCATCTGTATACGTAACAAAAGTGTTTTCTGTAGATGTCACATTATGCAGAGAAATTGAGAAAAGAATAGCTTATTTTGGCACACCTTCTTGAGTTCGTGAGAACGTAAAACAATTTCCTCCAAGCACAGTATACTGTTCGATTTCAGAGAGGTAAGAACACACCCAGCTGGTTATCTTGCTGTCGGTGTTAACGCTGGAAAATGTGTTTAGTAGTAGTAGTTTTAGAGTAGAGTCAAAGGCACAAGTATAGTCTGGAAATGAAAACCAAGAAGCTGTAGAAAGCTACTTCGTTCTAGTATTAGGACTGTTTAGCAGCGGACATCCACAACACCATCGATAGGAATCGAATTCAAGACCTTCGACCCCGCGCACGAACGTTTTACGTCTATACCAGTGAGTTGGCATCAAATGGTGTTGATGTCTATGTTCTGACCAGGTTCCAGATTATATATACTGATTGTTAAATTTCCAACCAATTATTGCTAGTGAACGAATCGAGAAGACACTAGGAGATTTTTATATAAACTCTATTTTTACTATTGTATCTTCTTTACTGGAATTTTCGGAGTACGTATTTTGTTTCCTATCAATTGCTGTTTTAATTAGGGAAGAGTCGGTTGAAATATCGTGGTCATGGGATACTAAACAGTGAAATAGCATTACAAACAAATAGTCCGTGTATTTTCACGTTAAACGATATATGTATATAGTAACATTTTTATTACCGTAAAAGTAGGAAAAAAATCGAATAAATTACAAACTTGATATGTAATATTCGATTAGCATTAAGGAAATGTGCATTTTTATCAGAAGAACAAGAGACTGTGCATTCACAAACCTCCTCCATTTCATCTAAAGCTTTTATTAATTCGCTTACATGAATGTTTTCAGTTGAGTTAAAAATAGACCGGACCAACAAAAACAATTATATATATCTAAATAACATACATTCTGTAAATGTTTGCACAAATGCCCAATATTATTTTAACAATATAGAAGTCAAATGATTTCATTTATCCAACTCACAATACAACTCCATAATGACATCTCACTTTTTGGCTTCTAACTAATTTTATACACAACAGTTTATAGCTTCTCACAGAAATCCATATAGCGTTATGATGAAACATATTCGAAAGGAAAATTTTTTTTTAAATCACTAATTAATTGGGTTTTTCTGAACACTCCTAACAACTTTTATTATTTCACTCAAACATTATTATTATATGATCGATAAGAATGTACCACAAGATAGCAGGTGATTAAAAAACATGTATATATCATTAACAAGCTAAAATAATGATAGCTAATAACACTTCTAACATGAAATTCGGCGTTAACATTGGATCAATCAATCTTAAATAACGTAGAAACCAGTACGTATGTTCATCAGTTTAAGTTCCCATATCACATAAACACAGCCGAATGAAATTAACAAGACAAATCTTAGAGCTACTAAAGAGATAAAATATTAGTGGTAGTATAAAATACTAGGTATAGAGAATATCTATCGACTGGAATCTTCCGCATTAAGCATTTCTCTCACTGAAAGATAATGGTTGCTAACTTCCATATTCACTAACCCGGTCAAAGCGCCAGACATTCTATCTATAAGTATAACAGCTTTTATTTCCTAATACATTTTAACATCAAGCCGTACGTTTATTGATTTGAAATCTATTCATCGGTTGAACTCAAGGGATCATTTCTATGGATAAATAATACTTAGCTAAGTCACTTTAATCGATTTATTATTTCATATTAAGCTCACTGATAAATATCATTTGAACGCTTTTAAACAATGAGTGCAACAAACTGGAAAGTCGAATCGGTAAACTTAGTTATTACGTCAGAATTAAAAATAAAAACAATACAAGTTTGGTACGCCTGTTACCTGGTCAATATTCATTGCACAAAAATGATTGCAATGAAATGGAGAAATTTCATAAAAAATTCCCAAAATCACTCTGCGAAGTTATTAACTGTCGAAATGAAACTTGTTGATATATTTAGACAGAATAGTCGAGGTCCTCATGTTTATTTTAATTAAAAATTGAAGATTTTCAGTAATATTGTTCAGAATCAATAGCCTATGTTTCCTTTTAGACCATCAGTTTTAAAATTGTTTACTACTTCGAGTGCTTTTATTACTTTTGAAGTGTATATAGATAATTTCACCTCTCTATGCCGATACAATATGGTCATTTGAGCTGATGTACAATAAATGCCAGGTTCTGCATTGGATTATGAATGAGTTTCACTTAAAAAAAACACAATAAAGGTTATGATTTTTATAACTTACTTGTTTTGATATAGTATAGGGATCTTTGATTTTTGACAAGGTAAATGGTGCTGTTGAATATACACGTAATGTATAATAAATTGTTATTGATTTCTCATATTGTGAAATCAAAAGAATGTAATTGCATGTCCCAGGATCTTGAAGCATTTTAACTAAACAATGTGGACTATTAATACGTACAGAATCACAAAATGGTGCAGGATCATAAGGATAATAGACTTTACGAGATTTGACATCTTTATAAACAACCACTGCAATGAATTCTTTGTTTTCGGCAAAATCTGCCTTAAATATTTAGATATGAAGAACAATAAAAAAAATAAACGAGATTATACGAAAGGATCGAATGGTAAGTATTTTGATTCTTCAGTATTAAAAAATGAAAAATATTTGAGCGAACAATTGTTTTCAATAACTTCATCATCAGGCTCTATAAGTCCATAATTATATTTTACATAGGCCAAAAATAAGGCATGTATTAATGAATTTGACAATGTTACGTGTTAAAAATTGTAAACGTTTGCATCTGTTACTATGTATATATACTTCAAAATTGTATTATTTGCAAATTAGAAAGGTCATTCAATAAAGGTCAAGATGATTTGGAGGGACTCAATGAGTACCTGAAGTATAGTGCGAAACTCACAGAAGCGAAAACTAATCTGGATTTTATCCGTAATTGCATTGTTACACACCGTTATCCGAAAGACTATTTCAAATCCTTACGTCGATGTAAAATTCAACCTAATATTAAATCGCTGAAAAGATATGCACTCAGTCAAATCGAAGCTTTTCAAACGTATATTGTTGAGTTAGAAAGGAATATTACACAGAGATTATATGCTGTTGAGTGATCAAACTAAATTCCAAAAGCTTGGGTCATGTAAAGACCGAACGTGAACTAACTACAACATTAAAATTACTAAAACAACATCAATACATCTTTGAGCATACCTATAATATGCTCAAGCCTTCTGGAACACATACCACTCGACTATATGGTCTACCTAAGATTCACAAACCTGATGTTCCTTTACGCCCGATACTAGATATGGCAAATTCTCCATACCATTCAACAGCAAAATGATTAGTTAAGTTATTAGAACTATTGCAACAAGAGCTTGTTAAGCATAGTGTTAAAGATGTCTTTGAATATGTTGATACAATTAAGAATATGAATATAAATGGCAAAACCATGCTATCACTAGACATAACATCTTCGTTCACTAACATCCCTTTGACTGAAACTATCGATTACATATGTGAAAAACCGCTAGAAAAGAAAATAGAGATACCAATCCCAGTTATTAAAATGAAAGAACTTCTGTTGAAATGCACTATGAATATCCACTTTAGGTTAAACAATGAATTCTTCAGATAAGTTGATGGGGTAGAGATGGGATCACCTCTAGGCCCGATGCTTGCTAATATTTTTCTGATCAAACTAGAAAATGAACCGCTTAAAGACATCCTAAGTAAATTCGATTATTATTGTCGATACATAGATGACACATAATATTTTACTATTCATTTAGAAGTACAATCAGTGGTTACATTAAAAACAGCTGTAATTATTACTTATATTATTGGTAATCTGGACTGCAGTTGCTACCTTAAAACATGATGGGCGAGGGCGTTAGGGGTAATAACCCGAAATAATATTAAAATTGATTGGTATACTTGTTTGCAGAAGTTTTACCACCACTACAGCTATGTATTGTTATGTTGAAACGCAGTGACTATATTTTAGGAAATTTAATCCAGATAATGACGCCATACTGCGACTAGATGAACTGAAATAGTATCCTTACATCCAGCAAGCAAAACCTCCCAACTATCAGTCAGTAATTTTCTAGGATATGAAAAGATGCATTGTTCTGGAGAACTATTTATTTATCACTTCATAACTGCTTAAACTCACGCTGATAATAACTTTCCCTGGTTATGCAACTGATTTTCTGGCAATAAGTTAAGAACTACATATTTGAAGTGTGAAAAATTCCATTCTTTTTAATCTCGAACAATAAGAGTTTTTAATCTATGGTCTAGCATGGCAGTTATTATCGTGTTACTCTGCAAGGGAACATTCAAATAGGTTATGGGCATGGATGTCGAATAGAATTCATCTGACAGATTTACTTACATTTCAAGACGGGTGGAGATTCCAAAACAGTCAGTTTCAGATTGCTGGCACATTTTTTGTAGGAGGAGGGTATCGGAAAGCAAGGTGGACGCGACACTGGATACGGAACAATAAGTAGTTTCAAAGAGGTGAGGTTAGAAATGTAAACCACTGAGTGTCATCACAATGATTTTAAAGTAACTCGTGAAGGCCCTAGGCTCAATTTTGGACGTCATCATAAGTGAGTACAGTTGAGGGATGAACTCCAAATTAAAACAGAATAACTATTGAATATCCCATGACTTCCTATGTTTCAACTGAAGTTAATCTGTAACGTAAAATATCGTACTATTCTAATAAATATCCGAATTTCTCACTTAATCGTCGATTACAATGCTCAATAACTTATCATTATTGAGTGATCATTGAATTTTTAATTAATTATATTGAACTTACTTTATCTACAATATGTCTTGTTAAAAGCACCCATATAGGTGATTCAGTTTGGGCAGTAACTTCCAAATTATACTGTGGATTTTCAGCACTAGCGTAAGAATCTTTCTTTGGTCCAGATCCAGCAAGCCAACAACTTCATTTATTATAAAATAGATTAAAGATCAATAGGTTGGATACATTAGTCAAGTTAAATAATTGATACTGACCACTAATTAATTATTAAACGTTTGACCAAAGTTATAGAAGCTTAGGGACAATGATTCGAAGTACTTGGAATGTACATAAATATGGACGAAAAAATTAATATGAATTGGTCAGCTTTAATTTACTACTGTTCATTAACAACCGTCAGCTAACAATAAGGGGAACGAAATTTCTATTAACCGTATAAAAAGAAGGATAATAAGTTTTGTATTATATAAAAAAAGAATGCTATAGTGTGCTTAACATCATTCAGACTGATACACTTATTTACACTGATTGGTCATTGAGTGGACGAATAGATTTGTATTTGTCTATCGACGAAAATTTCAATCCAACGAGAAGGCAGTTCCTCAAAGAGTGAAGAACTGTCTTGTTAATAAGTGCTAACTAGCAAAAAATCCAAACTTAAAACTGTTGGGATATTCAGAAAAATATACCAATAATTATCCTGTTAAGTCTAATGGTGTCCTTGGACTTTAAATGGACATTTCCTATTTGTCAATGTTTATTTCACTTGTCAAATATTGTACAAATGATGTTTCTATTTTATGGTACGATGTGGTCTGCTTGATTGGTATATAAAACAGAGTATGTTTGAAATATAACGATTCATATCTCAGAGGTTGAGACTCGCGTTCTGGACTCAACTGGCTGGGCTAGACAGGGAAGTGGGCCAATCAGAACTCGAGGTCGTCCTTACGTGTTTACGCGTCTTTGAATCGACTGATAATTCGCCAACTTACAATCAGCAGCATTTTCACGTTACAACAAAAACTTCTATCTTATTGCCTCTAACCATGCAACATTATTTACGAGTAAGAGTAACAATTTCCCTTTGATTAATACATTTAAAAAACTTGATAATTGGATAATATCTATAATAAATAACGCTGTTGAGATGTTAAAATAAATAGCCACCTTCCTTGGAAGCAATGTTTGAATGAATATTTAAAAATAAATTACTGACCGCTGTAGAAATTAGGAGGATGTGATAAGTTTCCATGAATTTGTAGCAAATTTGTTTATCGATGTTAAACATCTGTGAGGTAATAAATATTTTTTCAAAGCAATTTTTCGTTCATTTAGCAGTGCAAATATGAGCATGATTTTCACAAGAGATTTTATTTCAAAAACTAACTTCCACATTACTTGCTTTTTATCTGACAAATTGGTATGGGTTACAGCTGTTTGTTTATAGGACACGTATTTAGATAGCTTTAGATAATTGAGATGAAATGTCTAGTAAAAATCATGCTCATATATGCTCCGCTAAATGAATAGAAGAATGTTCAAAGATGATGAGAGGACGATTCAACTAATTGGATTACAGCGCACTGCTGAGGAGTTTCATACTAGGACGAAACAGTCGTCTAGTGTTTCCAGGTTTTCCATGGTGGTCTAGCTTCAATTGACTCATGATTTCAACCAGTGAAATAAATAATTATTTGTGTGAAAAAACTACCGAATATTTCCTCAATATTTATGGTCATACTCTCAAAATTTATAAATTAAGGTACAGGAAAAAAAGCATAATCGGTTTAATGGCAAACCACTCTTCTTATTTCTTAAGTCATTTCAAACAAAACTCCATTAATTGCAGTGTGTAGACCTTCTTATAATAGTGTTACTGATATAAATTTAGGCTATATGCAGCTAATGAAAAGCCTTGAAGTAAAATGAATTCAGATTATTTTGTAAATCTTATTTATCTAGCCTTATTGAAGCCATTTTATTATTCAGTTATCATTAGTGTGAGAGGATTGTGGAGATAATTGTGTTTTATCATTCACGTCATGGAATAATCTTAGTTGGACAACCTTTGAAAACTGGGAAGCACTAAACGGCTGTGCCGTCTCCCTACAGGACTCATCAGTGGTGTACATCAACGATTCCACTGTGGATCAGCCTCAAGACCGGAAAGTTTCGTGGCAAGGGCCTAAACTTTAAAGTAATAAGTCGGTATCTGATGATTTATATCATTAGCTTTAATCAATTTGCAAATGAGTTTGGTTCTTCATCTCAATAAAACAGTGGTAACTGAATTTTTAATTACAATTATACATTGCTTAGACCTGTAAATAATACATGACAATATAATTGAATAGAAAATTTATTAAAATAAAGCCTCCATTTTATGTGAATTCTGAAGAATCACATTCACTATACATTGACACTAAATATACAGGTATTTAGTGTTATATTTGTACGTGTTAAAAGTATCCTACCTTTATGTACCATATACGGATAGGCACAAAGTCAAATAAATAAGAATTAACTAACCACTTCAAAAATATCTATTGTGACATCCAATATTTTCGTTTTAATTGCACTTGTTAGCTATATAAAGTCTAACGTAAATAAACAGCTTGTAAGTATTAAAATTACTATGCATGATGTTATTATTGTGAATCTGTTCTTTTTTATACCAGGGAGACAAGGGGTAAATGTGCTGGAAGAATATGAACAAGCCTTGTGTAAACTGAATTTGTAGAATTAGGTATACAATTATTTTGTAAAACAAAGCCTTCCTTTTTGTTTGATGACCGCGTAATTTAATTTTTGAAAATATAGGTTGTATTGGTACACCGTGTTCTCTTTTCTCGAATACTCAATGACTCAGATTTGTGTGATGCTTTTTTCATGTACTTCAATTAACGTTGATTACACACATTATAAGCCATTAGTATCCATGATCATATAATACCTAATGTACACATCTAAGTGAACGGATTGACCACTCTTGTGTAACTAGAAAAAAAAACTTACGTTATCGGATTCACACACAAATTATTTTTCAAACACACATAGGCAGCTTATTGGTTAGATCAGTTGAGTTTTAACCATTAGATCGCAGGTTCAAACGATGACCTTTATCTATTCCGGTTTAAGCTGACAAATAGTATTACTATGCCCCATATTAAAACTGTAACTGAAAGTCGGGTATGTAAACTTGTACTAGGTAAACAATTCATACTTAAACACAGGTAATTTTCCAACTTAAGGATGAGAATACTACAGCACAGACTTTATAAGTATCAATGCCAAGGTAGGACCTGATAGTTTCAAATATATTGAGAATGGGATAGAAAGTTATTAATAAATGTACTTTTTGTTATATTCCAATAGTAGAAAAATCGTATTTCTGATTTTTCGTGGCTTAATGTAGGTCACTTCTTCAGAGTAAATAAATGACCGAAATAAATTAACAAAATTCTAAATAGCACAAAGGAAACAATGCAGAATATTCTTAGTACAGTCAAAACCATAATAGGTCTGAATATGGCAATGACCTGTCACTATTCATTTGTGCCTCAAAATATGGGTATGAAAAATGTTTGCATTTGTAATATGAAATAGTGAGGTTGAAATTAGGCGTATGTGTGAGTAGATCGTGTGGGAATAAACTATGTCAAATGTGGCTGTTTGGATAAACAATCCAGTCTGGATGAATATTCAAGCCTTCTTTTCTATCGAGGGCAGTGGGCTTTAGTGTTATGTGAAACGCTCCGGTTACTGGCCTCTCTCTTTATCTGAATAACCACATTTGAGTAAAAAAGTGGGAGGAACCTAATGAGTAACAAACGATTTCACAAAAGCAACTTACTCATTAACACATGTAGTATATTGAAATAGTCCTGGATCCCAATTAATGTAAAATACATCAAAGAAATGACATAAAGAATCATAATCTATCCAAAATACACCATTATCAATTAACTGTGCAGATGATCTATCAAAATTCAGCTTAGCTTGCATACTGGGGGTCCAGTGTTTTGAATCACGCTCAGAGAAATTACCTTTCCAACGCATATGACTCCATGGATTTTTCAGTAAAAATAAACGATAATCCTTTTTTTCAAAGCGATTAGTGTTTTGTTTTTTAAACAAAATTTATGTTGTGGAAAGGGAAACAAAACATACATAAATAGAATTACAAACTTGGTGATACAGTTATCACATGGATTTCAATAAAATAATGATAATAATTACAATATTTAGATTCATATCAGTGGAAAAAACCGATCACATATCAAGCATCATTACAATTTGTAATATAATTAACCAGATGATTTGTATGACAGTAAGGTTTTATTCATTTCCTTCTTTTTAAAAATGTGGGAAAACAAAAGGATTCTATCTATTTAGTAAGAAAAACTACTGGAAATAATTGGACGAAAACTAATTCAACTATCAGGTAGGGATTCACATACATGGCTTCGAGTTACAGTTTATTTGTCCCCACCAATAATGCTACTACGCATTTGGTTAAACGAAGTAGGTAAATTAAAGTTCGAACCTGGAACTAAGTAAATGTAGACTGAAAGGCCTCAGCAACTGCTTCACATTAGGCAGTCATACGTTAAAACGCTTGTTTTCGTTCGATCACCAACGTTCATCAACAAATAGGGCGCGATTAGTACTGTGAAGAAATTTTTTGTTAGTGGAACTAATTGACTTTTAATCACTGCATTGTTGACTTAAAAACCTCATTCGGTTTGGATACACCGGGTAATACCACTAGGCATGATCATTGGGAGCGTCCTCTCACTCTTTCGAAAGCCTTTCATAAAGTCACGCATTTATGGCCTTTATCAAGGAAGACCTGCTCACTGCCTACACTCCGCAGTCTGTTTTCTACAAAGTGAGACAAATTGAAGAGAATGTCTTAACAACCATTTATACAAAATTACAAAAGTTTTGTTAGTATCGATCTTCCTTTTGACTAGTCAAAGATGAAGTTCCATAACTACCAATAAGAGACCTCGTCCGGGGTTTATAAACAATGATTTTTCAATTTGAATATTAATTTACAATTCTTATTACTGCAGTTATGTCAGTAAGTCAGCTCCAACGTAGGACCAGGCAAATATGTGCATCCATCCAAGTTGCCATATCCCATTAGCAGTTATATCATCTCATATATTTATTTTAAAAAGTAAAAGAATCTTTTCACAAACATGTTTGGATTTGTTGGATTTTCATCAAACGAACAGTTTGTTAGTCAACTAACATTTTTTTGTGAGAATCATAAGTTAATTCATGATGAATGACATGACTTATAAATATAATGGCAGTGGAGTGAATGCAGTTACTTTTTATCGCACATTAGATGTTGATTTTCAAAATTACACAGTAAATTCATTGGTCAATTTCGGATTATATCCTCTATGTTTAGTCTTGTAATTATTGATCACATCTGTTGGTTGTTTAGTTAGTTTCAACTGGGTATATTAATGTGGTGTGATGATTTGTGTTGATATATATTTGTATGAATTCTCTCATTGTTTATGATCAACTGGTTGATTGAGAATCGCTGAATTACAAGTCATTCATTATACAATTACTTCGAAATCACTCAAATTTGATATCGCACTGAGTCAGCCACATTTTGATGTTATAAGTAGGAGAATAAAAATTGCAACAATTAAAAAAATACTCCTAAAATATGTCTGTCAGTTCGGGTCGAATAAATGAAAGGAATTCTTAGGACTATTTTATAGGTGACTATTAAGTAGATTTTTATTATTCTATTAAGTGTCTGGATTGTAGAGTCTTTATACTACTTTTATAGTACGTTTCCACTTCATTTATAAGCTGTTATTGGATGTTTCATCGTTCCTTAGTTATCATTAATTAAAAATGAACCTATTGCTCAGTTTTGTAGTACATGTGAATTAGTTGTGTACAAATTATATAGTAACCCACGGGTTTTTGAGCCAGGATAGCAAAAGAGACAATATTAACATAAAAGGTAATTCTGCTTGCTGTTTTTACCTTTTGATTATCCATGTAGACTAGTAGGGAGTTGTGGACCGATAGACATTTCGCAGTCATTATGTTATTAGTTTAACAATGTCATTGATCAGGCAAGTAAACATAAGTGGATTTCTACTATCAAATGAATTCGATAAAGTAGGCAATATACAGAGTTGTATTTATAACAATTTCAAATTATAAGCACATACCTCCACCTCACGTATATCTAACATAGCATAAGCATGAGTTGGAACTAAACCTGACCGTTCACTTTCATCATCGGATAACTGTCCAGTTGCAATTGTAACTAGACAGTGACCTTTATGAAATCGACTTAAAAGACGACGAAATTCTTTATCTTTATCAAAACTTGTAGAACTAGATCGAATGGAGATACGTTCAGGAATCCAACCAGTCAATGCATGCAGATCAATATTCTGTTGAATATCAAGAAAAATAAAAACAACCCGTAAACAAATTTCGAGTGAAACTCACCATAAAACAAACGTATTTTCAAAGAAATGTATATGAGCACATGTGAAATGTGTGATTATTTGAAGATCAAGTGTACACATCGAACGAAATTTTGTTTTATTTGGAGAGTAAACATGTTACACATGATTTTTATATTGTATTACGAAGTGATTTCAGTTAAACCACTATTGGATACCAGCAAGCATTGAATAGCTTTTTCATCCTAGTATGAAACACCTCAGAAGTGCCCGACGACGACTAAAAATCGGGTCAGATCAAAGACCTAAAGGTCTCTCAGGTAGGCCATTAAGCTAGCAACAAAAAGTGGATATATCTAACTTTAACCCGTTTGCGAAACTGTGTAACTATCTTCTAGTTCCATTGGTGGGGAATTGTCTAACATTCAATATGGTTAAACTCTACTGGTCACATCTTGTCAGAACGGGATTGTATGAATAACGGAGTCAAACAAAAACGAGGAACAGACTTATGTAAGTAAATGGTTTTTGTTACGCGATGTCTGATCACTACAATCAACTGTAGAACACCGGATGACTCTCTCGTCAGATATGAAGCTACTAATTATTAGCGTGCAACCCACGGTTCGAACACAGAACTTTCATATGTCGCGATGCATGTTTAATATTTCAGACTATTAAGTTTGAAATTCGATGGTCTATACTTTCAACTTAAATCAATCATGGAAAGTTATTTATGTAATCACATAAATCGTGGTACAATAAGAAATCAAGAAAAAGTGCCAAAGAGATGAAACGATAGTATGTATGAAAAAAGAAGAGATGGATAGTACAATCAAGAAAAAGATAAATTAACGATAATGAGCGACAGTCAGAGTCATTAATCAGTAATTCACTCACTCTAGACATGATCACATCAAGAATGTCACTAATTTTGTGCACTGAACGAATATAGAATACATACAAATATCATGTTTTAAAGGAACAATGATCAGACGGAGTTGATATGAGAAATATGATATATTTGTGCCGCACATTTCGAACAGTCTGATCACACATAATTGTCAAGACATTGCTATAACTGTGACGGCAGATTTGAGGGTAGCGAATTATCGATCGGACCAAAGACGCACAAACACGTAGAACGACCTAGGGTTCTGATTGGTCCCGCTTCCCTATCTAGCCCAGCAGTTGAGTCCAGAACGCAAGTCACAGCCTCGGATATACGAATCATTATATTTCAAACATACTTTGTTTATATACCAGTCAAGCAGACCACAACGTACCATAAAATAGAAAATAACATTGTACAATATTGACCAGTAGGAAAATAACACGTAAAATAAGTACTGACCAATAAGAAAATCATACCATGTCCAAGTTCAAGAATAGCAGTAGACTTAATAGGATAATTTCTGGGATATTTTCCTGAATATCCCAACAGACATCTTACATGAAAAATAATGAATGTCAATTAAATTAAAGTTCAAACAAATATTAATTTTCACTGTGGGGTTTTGAAAACTGTTGTATTTTATAAAAATCATGAACTGATCTAAGTTTGACTAATACCTAAAACCTAGAAGATTTAAGCGGTCGTTTTGTTCTAGTATGGGAATCCTCGAAAGTACGCACCCACGAACCTGCAACCGGGAATCAACCCCAAGAACTTCGACGTCACACGAGGATGCTTCCCGTTTTTGCGGTCTTGGGTGGGCACAGTTAAAGATTCCCATGCCGGGACGAAACGGTCATCTAGTACTTCCAGGTTTTTATTCATCGTCTTCCTCAGATCGGTTCGTGATTTTAATAAACATAAGGTGATAATTGAAAATAAAGGAGGGAAAAAACTAATATCATATGAAAAGAATAGGAAATTGTCACACCACTCTAGCTTGTAAAATGACGTAAGGTTCACCAGAAAAGACAAATAGTTTTCGTACACATAAAGGATGTTTGGATTTGCTAACACCCAAGGCCTTTATAAACCCAGGAACTCGCCCTTGACAATCTCTGCCTAACTTTCTAAAAGCTGTATTGACATCAATTCTATACCTCGTTTCAATTATATGCTTTGCTATTGATGAAAATGGTTTCCTACTTATTTTTATCGGAGTATTTGACACTAGTTTATCCCGAGGCCATTTAGACACATGTTGCATAACCCTTGATTGCATTGTTCGATGAATCCTCCCTAGGTATATGCGTCTGTACAAACATGCAGATTGATAAATACAGTGGGACGTGACGTAACCACCTGTGCAACATCTAGGTTCGTATAGAATCATGAGCTTAGTCAAAACCAATTTACCAGTACAATATAATTTCTCAGTGGTTGCATTTAGTTTGTTATGAAATTATACTGTTCGACTTTTCTCGACATGACAAAGAGATAAAAAACCTTTTCTCTGTAAAAGAATTAAAAAGGCATTTTGGTATTAACCGACTTTTACACCAATTTGTAAACTTCGTTTAACCATTTAGTATCAACGTTTCGGCTAGGAGTTTTGTATCTTTTTTCAAAAGCATCTGCAGTGCATATTCATTGAGTTTTGTCAAAGGCACTTTGCCACGTCTCACTTGTGGTGCAGAAAACACAAAGTGTGAGAATTCAGATATTGCCAAGTCTACGTTGGCTTCTTATAAACTGAACGTTTTATAGTTACATCCTCTTCGGCTGAAAAGTATGTCTAAATGAGAGAGTAACTTATTATTATTTTCGTCATAAGTACGATATCATTCTGCACGCTATCGAGTCTGTCCAATAAAATTGGACACACAAAGTGAACGCCTTATAAGTGCTTCACACTACCTAACGTTGCATCTAAAAGGAGAATGGTAAACAACTGGTAGCTTAACGCAAGAGCATCTCATCGACTCTGGACACGTTGCTCAACCGAATTTCATCTTTAAATATAATCTACAAGGCCAAAAGAGTGAAATCAAACAGAAGTAAAATTAGAAAGTTGTGAACCGTTCAAGTGTTGGTAATTTACTAATTTGATCTTGAAATCTGTATGCGAAAGTAACATATACAAACAAATATTATATAGAATGAATTAGTAATTGAACATTACCGAATTTGATCCTGGAAAATCATATCCGCCCATCACTTTCATATAAGCTTTTTCTAATAAAGATACCCATAATTCATTTTGATTATTTGAATAACAACATAGCAGCTTTCCATCCTTTCCCATTGGCAAAAAGTCATCTATAATTACCTAGATCAGTTAGGCACATATATATTGCAAAATTGACTAAGATTATTCACATATACAAGGGTTCAATTAAAAAAAACGATTAGGTTGAAAAATTATTTGTCGTTTATCGACCAATTACAGGTTTATGTACTTGGCTTTGAATCATACTGTTTACACAAGGGGAAGTGAAACTACTTATTACCTAGTTGCTCAAGTAGAAGTGAGGTGTATTGTTCAAATTTGGAATATACTAGTTTAAATCCAAACGATTCAGTCTGATAACAAAACACATCAAGCAGTAGCATTTATGTAAATCAACTCATAGGATACTGTCGCACATCAACATAAGAAGTTATGATCTAGACGAAACTACGCCGAAAGTGGAAAAGAACAGAGGATAAAGGTGAATGAACAATTAGTCATAAAAAAAGTAATAGTAAGATGTACGGCAGTAGTTCGTGAGTCCACTGGAAATTTACAATAAGGAGAATATAGAAATACAATAATACAGTAATTTGATAATAAGACAATAAAAATACTAGTAATCCGTAAAACAGTTCCAAAAGTCCTGATGTCCTCAACATATGTCAAGTCATAACAGATCGATTACATCGCCAAGTCGTATAGTGTTTATCAGGACAGTAAATCATAAAAATCACCAAGTTGACAAATACATTAAAATATTTGGACAATTATGAACTTCTAACTTAATTGTATAATAAAGAATATCTGTACGTCATCTAAGCGGGAATTTTCACAAACTAATGTAAATATTGGGATAGTACAAGCCAATAGTACTGAGAGTTTAGTGCATCCAGATTAATTTTCAACATTTACACTTAATGCAATGAGAAGACGTAGTTTATCAGAATTATGTGATATATTTGCGCAATACATTTCGAACAATCTGATCACACATATACTTGTTAAGAACATTTATATATGAAAAATTAAAAGGTTGATATCAAATCAGCATTTGTTGTCTTGTACAAAAGCCTTCAAGGACGTATACTAAGGTTTATTGAAGCCTTGGCTATACGGAAATTGAAACCCCCTTTATGTGTTCAAAAACAATTTGTACTTACACTTAACCTACCCTGGTAGTACTGATTTACTATCCAGAGTGGTAATCACATTTGTTTTTGTGTACTTTAATATTCTTCCTTTGTTATGACTTACCCTTAACCTGTCTAGTTGACCTTTTAATTTTTCATATATAAATGTTCTTAACAAGTATATGTGTGATCAGATTGTTCGAAATGTATTGCGCAAATATATCACATAATTCTGATAAACTACGTCTTCTCATTGCATTATCGAAATTTATCAAAGGGACTAATTGTTTTAAATTTACACTTAAGTATGTATTCATAAAGTGGGTGTTACGGTTGGAAAAATGGTAACAATAAATTAAGGAGATTTTTTATCCTTCGAAACACAAATTAACATAGAAAGTTTTTTTTAATTACTGTATTTTTGTACAGAATTTGAGCCAACGTTGAAAATAACAATATGGTCGATATGTAAAAAGTGTCTGGATTCCTATTGACGAAGTAATTACAACCATCAATAAATTTTCACTTCCTCATGTATTGTACTTTTGATAAAAAGGATAGTGATGCGTAAATATGCTCGTGATATAGAATTACATTATAACAGAAAAATAAACGATGGTTTGTTATTCAGATGATTGTAGACATGGGTAACATGGCCCAAAGTCGATCAATGTTGCTGTTGAATAGGATGGACGTGACGGGTATTCATCTCAATAACTTCATTTAGTTGTGTTGTGAAAGCCTAGATAGACACACGTTTATGTGCCACTCTTTACGTTGAACATGACTGAGTCCCAAAGTAGTACCCATTGGTGATTTCACGTGAGATCCACGCTACCATCTACGATTTCTCTATTTTGTAATTGTATAATCTCTTGCAGTTTGACGATTCTAGTTATGGAAACTTGAAGGGACAAACATTTGTCCTAGATTCTACGTTGCTTATGGTCAGCTCATCTAATCAGTGAGATCGTATATTTTGAGATATCTGATAGTATAAATACTTGGGACAATATTTAAACATTCCAAACTCATAAACACATAAACTGGAGGCTTCAAAAAGATTTTTTTTAAAACAGAGTAAGGTACAACAACAAATTGTTTACTTCAGTTTTCTACATTTCAATTGTATAAAAGTTAGAAGACTAATATCGTTGATCGATAATTTAAAAAAAAGTCAGACGTTAGAAAGATATAAAACTTTGTAAACAATCCACAAAGATAAATCATTTTTCATCGTTAATAATTTAAACCTCATATAGTTGCATGCAAGTAGTATTTCACAGATTTCTTTGCTGTTGACCTACCTCCAGTGACATAAAGATAGAGAGGTCGAATAAAGTATTATTAATTGATAGTTTATATTGCAGATAAATCTGGTGAGACTATAATTTATGGACGACCTTTGAGCTTAGCTAGACTGACCTCGAGAGTGTCCACCTAATATTTATGATCGAATGAAGGTTCTAAACCTGTGCAAGGAATTAGAATTGTGTTTTACAGTTGATGATTAACGTTAGGAATTAGATTTAGGGTTTTCATCACGAACTGACATCAGCTATAATGCCAAAACTCTATTTAGCCAAATAGATGGGTGAATTTAGCGCCTAAATCCGAGACCTGTTATCTTATAACTGATTGGTTCGTCTATAAATTATAGTCTCGCCACAAATCTTAGTTAAACAACCATTGAGAACTAGGTAGCACTGAGAAGCTGTTTTATATTAGTACTGCACTAAACAGTAGTGTGCATCGACGACATTATTAAGGGTCGAACCTGGGGTCTTCAGGTTTGATGACGAGCGCCTAACCTTTAAACCACTGATTGGGTATCCAGTGATTTTGTATTCCAATCACAGTTAATGATATTTTGTGATTATTATCCACTCCTGTTAATGATATTTGTTTTACACCTAACATGACTTAACTAGGGGCAATCTGTGATGTAAAACTATGTGATCTATAGAAACCATTTAATTTTAAGTTATTTCTCATCACGGATTGAGATTAGTTGAACCAACTATTGGAAATCAAGGAACCGCCCCCAAACGCCCTGGTATGGCCGAGAGCGGGAAGAGTCCGCTCTTCCTCTCTAAATGCTCTCACATGGTCATGCGTAGATAGCCTCTGCCAGGGAAGTCCTACTCACTGCATTCTTGTGGCGGGGGTGTTGTTTACGAAATTGAAAGGACGAAAAGCGAATGTCCGGCGCTTTAACCGGATTCCAAATCAATGGTGTACATGGGCTCCAGTATCTTGATGGAACAAATGGCGTATGAACCAATCGTTGGTCACTGTCTTCCATGGGACTGTATCTTCTTACGATGCCCCACTGCCTTGTGGATCAGACCTTCAGGTCGAAGGCTCGGGGAGTGGTCTTCTAGGAAAATCACCTGCTTCGGTTTAGGCACCCGGACAGTACCACAGCCCTCACACATATCGAATGAGATTTGTGTGGCGCATATGTATTTGGTGCCTCCTTGTACTAATATCTATGTGTTAAAATAAAATAAAAATAAAAAACCAAACAATTCACTGTTAATTAATCACATACCTTTCGTGGAACTCCGTTGAAATTTAAACGAACCATGTATTTTCCACATGGATTATAAATAGCTTCATTAGTTATGCCTTGAGGATATATAACACTGTAAAATAAGTCGTTTTATTTTTTATTTAAAAACAAAATTAATGGAAATAATCGTATCATGAATAAGTGAATTGATAACATTGTATTCTATAAGATGGAGATAGTTGAAATTGCGATATTTTTGTAGTCATTTTGAATAACATTACTAGGTGCTTAGTTCCCTATTAGAAGTTGGTCACAGAACAACAACAAAAACTCGTTACAGTTAAATTATCCAGTTCAAATGCTTTAACTATTGAGACACCACCTCATAATTTTAGGGTGATTTTTATAGTCATAATTTTGACCTTATTACTGAATGTCGCAAATATCTTAATTGCGTGTAATCTACTGATATTTATGCTTTAGTTCTGTACTTCTATTACGATTCACCGTGTCCGATTTTTATACATACGCTTACTGAACTATCTACGAGATTGTTGGTGATAACTAGGATATAATATTGTTAACAAATACATGAATAGGTACACAAATCATTGGTAAATATATAATTTATAATGATAATTTATATAACATATAATTCAATTGACTCATGATCTCAACTATTGAAAATATATAATTGTCCGTCTGATATGTACAAGGGCATATAGGCTGGGACCTTAGCTGGGAAGATAATTCGTTGCCTCCAGTAGAGCTTACCATTTATGATTATTCATTCAATATTTAACCTTGATATGGTATTAATGAAAATAATATATTTGTAATATACCACTGAGTAGGAAAATTACGTTTCTAATTTTTTTTTAACGTTTCGTCACTTAGTATTAGCCCTTTCATCGAGGAATAAATAAAAAAGTTAAATTTTTAAGGTACATGTCCGGGCACCATAATTTGGAGAATACGATTACTCTTTCCTATGTATGTGTGTCACACATTTAAATTGATAAACACAGTTGGATGTGACGCAATCGTCTTCACATCTTCTAAGTTTTTAGTGAAGCATGGAGCATAAAAGGATGGAAGGGTCATGACCTATTATAGCAGAAAAAGCCTGTCTACATTACTTAACGTTTAGAGGTGATTCAATTAATCTTTTATTGAAACAAAAGCTTAAATAAGTTATTAACAAGACATATTACGCAGAAAAGGTAATTATCAAGGGAAAATCAAGGTCCATGAATCCCCAAAAACTTAAAGGATATGGAAACGATTGCGACACATCCAACTGTATTTATCAATTTAAATGTGTGGCCACATATAAATGGGGAGGAGTAATCGTGATCTCCAAATTAGGGTGTCTGAACATGTACCTAAATGGTTTCGAAAACAAATAAAGACCTAATAAGAGTAGATGATAAACTATTTATTATTTATTTTAACACATAGATATTGGTACAAGGAGGCACATAAAGGTTTGATCCACAAGGCAGTGAAGAGACGTTAGGAGATGCAGTCCCATGGTAGTCGGTGACCAACGACTGGTTCATACGCCATTTGTTCCATCAAGATACTGGAGCCCATATGCGCCACTGGTTTGGAATCAAGGTTTCCCAACTCCCCTAGGTGGACTCTCCGTGTCCACGAACCCGGTTAAAGCGCCGGACATTCGCTTTTCGTCCTCTCAATTTCGTAAACAACATCCCCACCACGAGAAGGTAGTGAGTAGGACTTCCCCGGCAGAGGCTATATACGCGTGACCATGTGAGAGCACTTCGAGAGGGTGAGCGGACTCTTCCCACTCTCGACCGTACCAGGGCATTTGGGGGCAGATGATAAACATCCAACGTCCTCTATCGCCAAACACAGTTGAAATAGGCATAAGGCTGATCTTAACATGGCTTTCGTGTTGTACAAAAGCGTAAAAGGGTACATACTAAGGTTTATTGAAGCCTTAGCCATACGAAAATTTAACCCCCCTTTATGTATTCAAAAATAGTTCACACCTTAAATTTATCCTGGTAATGCTATTCAGGTTTTAAATTGTTATTTATATTATTTTCTTTATTATCCTCGTCTCCTCTTGCCCTCTATTTCTAGTCGATTTGACCTTTTATGTTTATATATAAATGTTCTTAACAAATATATGTGTTGAAATCATGAGTCAATTGAAGCTAGACCACCATGGAAAACCTGGAAGCACTGGACGGCCGTTTCGTCCTGGTATGGGACTCCTCAGCATTGCGCACTGCTGACTCATGATTTCAACTTGTGAAATTTCTAAAAATCTCCACAAAACACATTCTGATAATAATAATAAATATATGTGTGATCAGATTGTTCGAAATGTATTGCGCTAACATACCACATAGCTCTCATAATCTTCGTCTTCTAATTACACTAACCAAATTAAATGTTACAAATGAAGAATAGCGGTGCGATCAAAACTCAGTAAACAGTTAAACTACACGACATAAACAAATCTAAACACAATTGTGAGTCCATATTTAATTGTAATCAAATACAGAGTTTGAGAATTACGTTTCAGCTATATCTAAGAGCGTTAGTTGATATCTCAAAACAAGTGTCAATCTTTCAACTGAGATTTCAACCCAGTACACAAATGAAAAATATGAACAAGTTGGAAGAAGAAAAGTTAATTTCGAATATTTGATTGTATCATAACGTTGAAGATGACTAAACCATATAAACTCAATCAATCAAAATCGAACCATCTAATCAATAATTAAGTCATAATAAAAACAATACAAAGTAGCAACAGATGAAGAAACAAACTGAAAACGTTGACAACACAAAACAGCTTATTATATAAATGACGCATAAAAGTATGTCTGCCTGTCTATCTACATTCACTAGTCAGTCATGCCTTGCTTTCGTTGAACGCATCAGATGGTCTGTCATTCTAGTGATTTTTACACTGCAAAAAAAACAAGATGCAATGGTAAAATACGAATAATTCAGAACAAGTAGCTTTTTTAGTGAATAGTCAAGTAATATCTTACTTTGTAATGAGCTTTTTTTTAAAACGTCGTTCATATTGAGCAGCAATCGCCATCGATGCGACAAATGAACAATCAGTAACTACAGTTTGGCATATAGAAAAACAAGATATTGCCAAAATCATTTTTGGTCCATTAATGTAATCAGAAGGACGTACCCAACGGCTAAGTAAAGATTTCTGTTTATTTGACAGTGCTAAAAGTCCATCTTTATCACTTTGAAAAGTAGCAATAGAAGTAGGAAATGAAGAAAACAAAACCTTGTGAATGTTAAATAAAATCTTAAAAATGAAATGTGATGTTCTGTAACAAACAAAAACAGCTAAGAATGATGAAAAGATAAACTGATTTTAGGAGTGAGGACATGTAAACTTGTTCCTAAATATCAAGAATGATACACGGGGAAAGAAAAAGTTAAAGTACATCTTGTGTTTAATAACAAATATACAGGTTTTCAATAAATTTGTGTATTATGCTTTCAAAGATTGTGGCAGTTGAATATGTTATATGAATGCCTAAACCATAGTATGGTGGTTTGATGGTTAAGGGATTCGATTTTCAACCACTAGGTCGAAAGTTTGAACTATACTACATATATAAGCAGAGATGGATAGTGGCTAGCAGTGGGATCTCTGCTTATAATGCTTGTAAATTAAGGCAATATCGAGGCATACGCACAGTATGCACATATGCCAATAAGAGACTGATCAACTTCAGTCCTAAAACATCAATGGGAAGATTCAAATAAAACAATATCAGGTAAATTATACTACATATAATTAGATTGAGTAGCCGGGTTGTATAGCTATTCCTCATATACAATGAATGACTTAAAGCTGAGTACACAGTTTCACAATTTGTAAATAAGAAATAGAAATGTGTACGGATCGAAACCCTGGTTGTTGAGGGATAAACAATAGGATAAATGAGTGACAGTAAAACTACTACACTGAAGTCGTACATCTAGAAGATGTCGTGATGAAAAACTTGTTAAATAGATGTTATTAAATAGTTAAGTAATAAAGGTCGCTAGAGGATAAAGACAGAATTTTCCGGCAAATAGTTGAAGTAATCTTCGAATTTCCCAAACTGATTAGTAGCCTTTATTATGATTGAATCAAATCCAGACATTCCAGAAAGAACACCACTTATACCAACAGCAATTCTCGTTTCAAATGTAATACATTATTTTTAGTTGGCCGTTTTTAATAGCGAGTGACTAAAGATAGTTATTATGAAAGAATGAGGAGTTGTAGCTCAGTTGTATGCTTCTGGTTGTATTGTGTTCTTTGGGTGAGCTAAGTGGTTTAATTGGGAATCCTTCATTGTCGTTATAGATAGGATCAGTCCTCAGTTCACGTACAAAGGGACTATTTGATAAATGCAGTTGGTATAAATATGGGTTTAATTACTAGCACAAACTGAAGTATAACACAAAACCGTTGAAACCCAACAACTACATAATGATATGCATCTTCAACTACATCTATGGTGAAGTTATTAAATGAGAAACCCAAAATGAGCACATTGCTCCTGGGTCACCAGACTGTAATCGAAGTGTTAGTATTTACGGATTTCAGTCAACCAACAATATAACATGGCCCCCAAATGCCCTGGTACGGTCGAGAGCGGGGTGGGTTCGCCCTCCCTCTCGAAATACTCTCACATAGCCACGCGTATACAGCCTCTGCCAGGGAAGTCCTACTCACTGCCTTCTCGTGGCGAGGGTGTTGTTTACGAAAATGATAGGACGAAAAGCGAATGTCCGGTGTTTTAACCGGATCTCAAACCAATGGTGCACATGGGCTCCGGTATCCTGCGGAAACGAATGGCGTATGAACCAATTCTCGGTCACCGGCTACCATGTGAATGCATCTCTTTACGATGCTCCACTGCCTTGTGGGTTAGTCCTTTAGGTCAAAGGCTCGGGGTGTGGCCCCCTAAGATAACTACCTGCTTCGGTCTGGGCACCCGGGCAGTATCGCAGCCTACATGCAAATGATGAACTCTCTATACCTATGGAAACTACATTTCTCGCTCCGAATAACAATCAAATGATTCAAATTATTAACATTATTAGTATTATTATTTACTACATCATTATTCACCCTCTTTTATTCCTACTCCGTCTATACTTATTTTTCAGTTTATACAGAATATACCGAATATGAGTACTGAAGCAGCTTTTCTGAAACCACGTGCACCATTCAAACTAGCTGCCTTCAACGTTCGCACACTTATGCAGGCCGGACAACAGAGAGGGCTGGCTATGTCTTTGGAAAATCTTAATATCGACTTTTGCTGTCTATCTGAGACCCGTATTCAAGACTCTGGTGAAGTACTACAATTTCGATCTCCATCTGTCGCTTCGAAAAGCTTATTCTATGTGCGCTTATCCGGGGGAAATGTGGCATCTTCGTCTGGTCTTGCTGGCGTTGGTGTCGCACTAAGCGCTAGAGCTGAGGCAGCACTAATCGATTGGATCCCCATTAACAGTCGGTTATGTGCTGTTAGATTAGAAAGTTCCATCAAAGTGAGAAGAAATCGGCGTTAGAAACGATGTCTTTTCGTCATCTCTGCCTATGCTCCGACAGATTGCAGCCCGGATGCAATCAAGGATGAGTTTCACCACCAGTTATCTGTTCTTCTCCAGAAAGTGCGTTCGACAGATATTATAGTACTAGCCGGAGACTTGAATACTCAGGTCGGGCGTCTAGGCACAGAAGAGAGTCGTTCAGGTGGCCGATGGGGACTTGTTAGTCGCAGGACAGATAACGGGGACCGTCTACTGCAACTGTGCACAGACCACAACCTGTTTCTGGCTAGCACTAACTTCCGGCACAGTCATCGCCGATGTGCCACCTGGCGTCCTCCCTCTGCATCTCAAGCCTGGACTCAGATTGGTCACATCGCGATCAGCTACCGCTGGCGTGGTTATGTAAAAGACTGCCGCTCCTTTTGGAGTACCTATCTGGACTCTGACCATGCTTTGGTCTGCGCCAATCTTACCTTACTTTTCAGTGGCCAACGAAGTGACCGCGCATCAAAGGATTGATGTTAGCAAGCTGGTTGCAACTTCTGTTGCAAGTAAGTATCGAACCGCGCTAGCCTCTAGGCTAGCTACCATTCCACCGAAAAGTATAGATGAACACTGGTTGCAATTGCATGACGCCATGAAAATGGCGGGAACAGTCAGTTGTGGGTTCGCGAAACGTCCAGCTTATAAGCACTGGGTTTTTTTTTGGTTCCTTACAACTCATTGAAGCCCGTCGGTCTACTCCGGGTAACCGTGAGTTTGACCGCAAACGAAGGAAGTTACGTAAGGAAATTGGGCAAAGCTTGCGTAAGGACCGAGAAGCCTGCTTTTCGGAGCGTGCTAATGAGTTGGAATCAGCAGCTGAATCTGGTAATTACCGGAAGCTCTTTCAATTCGTCCGAGCCACTGGCAGCAAGGAGTCTGGTGTGAGCGAAACAATCTGCGAGGATGACGGGATGCCAATCACTAACATCCACCGACGTCTTGGACGATGGGCAGAATTCTTCGAAGGGCAGTTCAACTGGCCTGCTGCTCCGGCAACATCGGTCAGACTGTCCTGCCCTCCATGGCCGGTGGCGATTGATCCACCAATTGATGCGGAAGTCCGCAAGGAAGTCCAACTCTTGAAACGCTACAAATCACCAGGCCCAGATGACTTACCTCCGGCTCTTTTTAAAGATGGTGGTGACTTCCTGACTAAGGAACTGACGACGTTGTTTACAAAGGTTTGGGTGTTAGAGAGTGTACTAACGTCATGAAATGAGTCGATAGTTGTCCCTATCTATAAAAAGGGTTCACGTCGTTCCTGTAACAACTATTGGGGGATAAGTCTACTTCCGATTGCGTCCAAGCTATTGGCTTCCGTCATACTTCGTAGGTTGTTCAAAACCCGAGAAAGATTGACTCTCAAGGAGCAGGCTGGTTTTCGTCCTGGTCGAGGATGTATCGATCATATCTTCACCCTCCGCCAAATGTTAGAACACCGCCATACTTATCAAAGGCCAACAATCGTAGTGTTTCTTGACATCAGGGCTGCCTTCGATTCGTTGGATAGGACTGTTCTCTGGGATTGTCTATTGAAGAGGGGTGTGCCTGAGAAGTTTATTAACATCCCAAAAGCCCTATATACAAACACCTCAGACAGAGTGAGGGCATACAACCACCTCTCTCCATTGTTCCATTCGAGCAGTGTGGTTAGGCAGGGTTGCCCAATCTCACCATTCCTCTCCAACTTTGCCATCGATGACATTCTGGAAACAGCTCTGATGGATGTAATGGCGGTGTGGATCTGTTACCTGGAGAAAGACTTATCGACCTTGAGTATGTGGACGATAGTCTTACTGTGCAATAATGCCCAAGCTATGCAATTCGCACTTGATCAGTTGGCAATCAGTGTCCGTAGGTACGGTATGTGCTTTGCACCTTCGAAATGCAAAGTACTTCTACAAGACTGGCAGGACTCTAATCCTGTACCCACTTTGGATGGTGAACAGATAGAAGTAGTCGAGAAGTTCGTGTATCTGGGTAGCTGCATAAGTGCTGATGGTAGCGTGAGTGATGAGATCAATGCACGTATAGTGAAAGTCAGATTGGCTTATGCCAATCTGGATCATCTTTAGCGCCTTCGTGACGTCAGTCTGGCTGTAAAAGGTCGGATCTACAACGCGTCGGTGAGAACAGTTTTGCTCTATGCCTGTGAAACCTGGCCTCTCCGAGTTGAGGACGTTAGACGACTCTCTGTGTTCGATCATCGTTGTCTCCGAAGGATTGCTGACATCCAGTGGCAACACCATGTCAGTAATGCAGAGGTTCGGCAACGTGTGTTCGGGCACAAAGATGATAATGCAATTGGTGTCACCATCTTGAAACACCGACTTCAGTGGCTTGGACATGTTCTACGAATGTCGTCCCAGAGAATTCCATGTCGTGCATTATTTGCCGACTCTAGGACTGGTTGGAAGAAGCGGAGAGGTGGTCAGTGCATGACATGGTGTCGTGGGATGAAAGAAAGCTGCAAAGGACTGGCTTCTGTTGGTCCTTCACGACTCCCTGGTTGGGGTCCGAGAGATGGTGCTACACAGTGGCTAGACACGTTATCAGATATGGCTCAAAATAGAAGCCAGTGGCGATCCTGCTGTAACCTTCCTTTACTTTCGTTATACGAAGTGGTAGTATCTCCCTTAACTGAAAGATTTCTTCTGATTGTACCTTTCTGTTCCGCCATTTTTACCATTATTATTATTACACTACCTTACATCAATCTTCTTTTTTCTCCTTACCCTTACATTCTCATTGTTTTGTGTGGCGCATATATATTTGGCGCATTCTTGTACCAATATTTATGTGTTCAAATAAATAAATAAATAAAAATCATCTGACCCTATAGGCTAGCAACTGTTTTTGACTATACTGCCTGACCAAAAACAAAATTACAGATTACCAAAACATTAAAAACGCGTGTGTATAGTTGGAGGGACCCAAAGTGAAATGAAAATGCAGTGGATATTTTAGCTAATGGTAATTTCAGACAGAAATTGTACTCAGACCAATCAGATTTTTTACAAACCATATTGTTAACTCAATTATTTAATAGTGATAAGTGTAGAAATGAATGTACGGGAATTCTTTGAGTCGACGCTATTGTACCGTAAACCAAACTGCCAACTGTATGGATGCGGTTACTAATTATTTGAAATGAGAAGGGTATTACAGCCATTTACATGAAATTTGCTTACAACCTAAATGTAAGTAATAAAGACTAAAATAAATGTGGACAAAAGATTTGTTAACTTTAATACTTGTTAGATAAGTAACCAAATATTGCATGGATGAATATAAAATAACCAAGGGAGAAATCAGTTAACTAATACTCTATTATTTTAGGTTTAACTGTTTCTAAGTGTACATTTTCCTTGGACCTGTGACAACTTGAGCTAACATGCTACTGTATAAGGCCCTAAAATTATTCAATAATTACACAACATTCAAACAAGATCCATGCTAGATATCAGATTTAATATTTAAAGCTCAGTATAAAGTATGGTTAACTATAAACATATAGAGCATAAACCAAATGTAAATCAAGAAAACTCGTTTGTAGACAAGGATCATGACTTACACAAAAGGATTAGCAAAGGAAAATCGTTCTTGTAGATCAAGGGCGTCAAGAAACGGTAAATACTCACGACCATTTATAACGGACGTGGATCTCAGTACCTCCAGTTCTTCGACAGTAAAACCGCCGGGGTCTATAAAAGAAAACGAGAAATTGGTTGATATCAAGTCTGAATATGATCAAATTTATGGAATATGTAGTATAAAAATCTTAATTTGGTTGAGACAGAATTTTGATCGCTTTTTTAAGCAGCAACTGATTGCACTGAAGGCCTAAGTAATGTACAGGCTCCTAGTAGAAACGAAGAATTAAAACTAAGGAAACAAGATGGGTGACTATATCAAAGATCAGCCATACCGTCATTATAAAGTGTGAAACCTTCTAAGTAAAAACAAAACGAAAATGAGATAACATAGTTTCATCACTTAAACAACACGGTTCTTAATCGAAAGATACAAGAACTACTGTTAATTTTGTGTCCGCATTTATTTATTTGTTTAAACACATAAGCACTGGTACAAGGAGGCACCAAATAGATGTGCACCACATAAATAATTCGATTTATGTGAAGGCTGAGAAACTGCCTGGGTGCCCAAACCAAAGAGCGTGGTTTTCTTATACGACCACACCCGGAGCCTTTGACCTAAAGGTTTAAACCACAAGGCAGTGAAGCAACATCAGGAGATGCAGTCCCATGGTGGCCGATAACCAACGATTGGTTCATACGCCACTTGTTCCCTCAGGATCCTGGAGCCCACGTGCATCATTGGTTTGGAATCAGGGTCTTCCAACTCACCTAGGTGGATCCTCCATATCCACCAACCCCGTTAAAACGCCGGATATTCGCCTTTCGTCTTCTCAATTTTGTAAAAAAAACACCCGCGCCGCAAGAAGTTAGTGAGTAGGACTTCCTTGGCAGTGGTTGTATGCACGTGGCCATTTGAGAGTATTTCAAGCATTCTGATGATATTTTTCAGTGTGTTATAATCGAACAATGGGCTTAATATGAAATACTAAATCGACTAAAGTGACTTAGCTAAGAATTATTTACCCATAGAAATGGTCCTTCGAGTTCAAACGATGAATAGATTTAAAATTACCGAACGTATGACTTGATGGTAAAATGTATTAGGGAACCAAAGCTGTTATATTTATAGATAAAATGACTGGCACTTTAACCGGGTTCGTGGATATAAAGGACCCACCTAGGTGAGTTGGAAAACCCTGATTCCAAACCAATGGTGCACGTGGGCTCCAGGATCCTGAGGGAACAAATGGCGTATGAACCAATCGTTGGTCCCCGGCTACCATGGGATTTATGTGGCGCATATCTATTTGATGTCTCCTTGTACCAATGTTCAAGTGTTTAAATAAACAAGTAAATGTGATTACAAAATTAACTGAAGTTCTTCCATCTTTCAATCCACATGAAATTCCACAGAATAAATTACAAAATAAAACGGTGAAAATGTGAAGATATATTTACATCGACAAGTCAATAAGTGAAAATATGAGTTATGTATTGTTTGGAAAGGCTTTCCATTGCGTTGAATTTACGTAAATGTCTTAAAAATTCTTGATGTCGTACGGTCTACATATCAACAGATTATTTTAAGTAACAACCAATAGTTATTTCATGGTTAGTTCAGTCACAAGTTATTTGATCACGAGAATCAATCAAGATTTTTCGTAAGTCACGCTATAGTTAATAGTAAAGACAGCTAACTTGAAAATGTTAAGTTAATTATTATAATCGATGACAAAAAGACAACTGTGCTATCATTGAATTAGATGGCGAGTTTCATGTTTTTTTCCATTTTGTTAGTTATAAGTGTTTCGTCAGGTGCTGATTCTAAATGTATTACTGAAAATAATGGCCAATTATGGGTAGGAATAGTAACAAACTTAAAAAATTTAAAAAACCAACCTCCTTTCAAAGACGAAGACATATTGGGTTTGTGAAAATCGTGGGATTTCTTAGATGTTCCTGTCATTTGTGACGTTAAAGTGCTACAAGAAGAACGGGAATCAGAACAAGGAGGCTGTGTTCTTTGAACATATGCCTTTAATCCTTCTGCCCTAGAAAGCTGGAATTAATTAAATAATATTTTAATACCGAACTAAACCCCTTTTGGAAAATGTTTCAATGGCTTTAAGTAAAGAGGGATCCTGGACATCACGTTTCTATGCACATTTAATTAACTAAATCCAGAGGATTTACTATGGATAACATTAACTCTACAGCCAATGTGTAGAGCTCAAAAGCCTTGTGGAAGTTTCCTTTTTCATCTTCCGTAGTACCATCATCCAGTAAGAAAAGAGCCCTTGAAAAATCAGCCTGATGCATTAAATTAATCACAAATGTAACCAGACTTTGCTTTTAGAAATACGAGTGTTCGGTATGGAAGAATCTTCCACCACAGTTTTTAATTTGAGTTCTTTCACTTTGTTGTTGTAATTCTGAGCTAATTCTAATAAACCTTCAGTTTTTGAGCCTGCTTCCAAAGAATTCAAGAGTGCTTGAGCGGCTTCCTATAAGTATTAATGATTTAATCAGCCATCTACAGTGTAATAAAATGCAGCAGATCTGTATTGTTTCCGAGACTCTTCCCACACTGCAAGTCTTTTGAACCAATCGGCATCTTTCTCCAACTCGTGAGGATTAGCCATTGACTAATCCAATCACCCAATATAATGCTTCTTTTAATCAAAACACGCAAGTTTTCACCACTAGATAAATTACCTAAAAGACAATTCGAAGAATAATAGGAAGTTTGAAGAATTATTGTGGATGTGAAATCGAATGCAACGTATAGGGAAGAACATTGATTTTGAAATTTATGTATTAATTTACTGAGGTTTTAGCTTAGTGAGTTCTGTTCAATGAATTTCAGTCGCATTAATTTACTCTGCATTCAGTTAGTTATTTGATTTTTAATGGACTGTTCTTGTAGTAATCTATTTACTGTAACTTTGTGTTCAGTGACAGTTGTTCAAATAATGAAATTCTGTAACTAACAAATATAGATTATTATCGGAAGGGGTTTTGTGGAGATTTTAGAAATTCCACTGGTTGAAATAACGAGTCAATTGAAGCTAAACCACCATGGAAAACCATGAAGCACTGGACGGCCGTTTCGTGACTGATTTCAAGAGATACTCCTGGAGTTCTTGTGAGAAGACGTTACCAGTGGAGTTCAACCAGGTCGGTTGTGAGATATCAATTCACTGAAGACAATGGTGTGTGGTGGCGCAACTTCGTGGATTGGTTGATGTTAGACATTAACACCGTTGAATGCCGGCTCAGTGGTCTAGTTGGTTAAGCTCCTGGCGTGAGACTGATAGGTTCTGGGTTCGAATCTCGCGTGGGCGGGATCGTAGGTGCGCACTGCTGAGTCCCATACTAGGACGAAACGACCGTCCAGTGCCTCCAGGTTTTCCATGGTAGTCTAGCTTCAATTGACTCATGATTTCAACCAGTGAAATATAGATTAATAGATATACAAGCTAGCTAATTTAAGTGTAGTCCGATTTTCCGAGGTCTCCACCAAGAAAAACTTGTATACAAACTCGGACTTCTAATTAAAGGCAGTGAACAGTTATTAAGTTAGATGTCTCGTTTATCGTACTGAAGTCAAAATTGTCAATAATCAGTTTAGTGAACAAGCATATCAAAGATACACAGCATTCCGAAAGAGCAATAAGACTAATTTCCCTAAATACATAGAACTATTAGGCGATATAATCACAAGATACTGAGGATTAGTAGGATTCAAGGCATGTCTAACACTGACGACATCAAAGTATTAAGTTCAATATCGACAAATACATTACATTCATGTCATAATAAATTTGAGAGCTAACGACCATAGCAGGAGAAATAGATTCATGATACCGGTATTAAGAATGACTGGTTACACCTAAGATTAACTTTTAGAAGTCTTGCAGTTAAGTTATTTTGAGAGAGGAGTAATCAATGTCTCATGTATACTTTTATAATTTACAGAGCTACATCTGCTGCACCTGAGGGCAGGACGTAAGGTACTAAGTTTAGACAGTGGGTTCAAATACAGTACTGTAGACTTTCACAATCCGGCTTCATTGCAAATCACACCTTCAAATGCATTAGGAAAAGTCAACTAATGTCGTCTGATGAAAGGTGATCATACTGTGTTGACTTTTAGGACTAAGACTCATGAATTAGTTTTGAATCTCAACACTGAACATGTGACCTAATTGTCCAAGTGTAGCATTCTAGGAATAAAGACAAAGTGTTGATGGAAACAGGAACAAGCTTTATAATGAAATCCAGGAAAGAATACTAATGTTTATCTGATGAACATCTTTATACGGGATTTCCACAATCCTCCATTGATTGTCAGGTGGGTCGAAAGGTTTTTATTAGAAATAGATGAGACTATAATTTATTGACGAGCCAATCAAGTATAAGATAATAGGCCTCGGATATTGGCGTGAAATTCACTCATTCAATTTGGTTAAATAGAGTGTTGGCATTATAGCTGATGTCAGTTTGTGATGAGAGCCCTAAATCTAATTCCTAACGTTAATCATCAACTGTAAGACATAACTCTAATTCCTTACACGGGTTTAGAACCCTCATAGATATTAGGTGGAGACTCTCAAGTTCAGTCTAGCTTAGCTCAAAGGGCGTCCATAAATTATCATCTCACCGAGAAATATACTTGAGATATGATCTAAGTGCCACGTTCAGAAATAGACACTGAAACCACGGAATTTCCCTATTTTGGGGTTTTCCTCAGTTTGGGGAATTTCCCTACGTCTCCATAGCGCCTTACACAAAACATGATTTTTGAACAATAAAAAATCAATGATTCCGTAATATTCATGTTCGTAGGAATTGATGTTTAACGACGACTATAAGCACAAAACTTAAAGGCTCACAAAAATGGGACACGTGACACAATCAGGTGTTCCTTACGGGGCGAAGCTGCAATTGATGAACGAGCCAATCAGATATAAGATAATCGGTCATAAATTTTGACGGGAAATTCATTCATGCAGTAGGCTAAATAGCTTTGCATTATAGCTGATGTCATTTCGTGATGAAAATTCAGTCCAGTTTCTAGCTCTAACTATCAACTGTAAATCATACTCCTAAGTGTTTTATGACCCTAATTTAGTCCTTATCAGGTGTCCATTCTCAAAGTCACTTCAGCGTCGCTCAAAGGTGGTCCATTAATTCTAGTCTCACCTCTTACAGTTTAAGGTATATTCTTGATTGCGAAATGGTCTTGAAAATCAAAACCCAAACATTACCTGTTACGTGTCGGTGATTAGTTTCACAAAACATTAATATGTATATTACAGACTATATGAATTTACTAAGATATTGATATGAAAACACTTTCAACTAAGGGTTGGAACAATTAACATTCACCACCCATCAAAATGAGGATTTCACAGAGTACGACTTACATTCGTTCCTGCGTCTCCTAGATTCAATATTTTTTGGTTTTTAAGGAAATCACTAATCCGGATTAAATGCCACTTTCTGATAATTTAACACAACACTACCTTATGATACTACTAATACAACGAACGGTTTAAACGTTAGCTCCTTTTGAAATGTGCCCGCCCTTTCTTTTCAACGACCTTGAACGGCTTGATTAGAGGCGGTCATTCCGTATTTCAATTGCCGTGGGTTGGTTGGTTTGCATGAGTATCAGGTTTTTTCATATATAAGTCATCCTATGCTACATAAAAAGCACGAAATAAATAGCAAAACCATTAATTTAGCGTTCTCTGTTTTGTAGTGTGCACTTTGGCTCTGTTGTTGCTTTGTAATTTGATCTTGGATCCCAACAATTGTAGTAAAGCTAAACGAAATGTCAAGTCACAGGTAAATCTCAAGTATTTGTAGTATTTCCTTGGGTTATTATTGTTGCAAGGAATAACTGTTTAATAATTAGTAATGTCTGTTTTTAGTGCTTCATCCTCAAGTGACATTTCAGTCGACTTTACCGATGCCTTTCGAAGTATGATACTGAACAAGCGTTTCGTGTTGTGGGATGATTTTGAAAGCGCCTTAGAAGAGTTCCAAAAAGTATGGAACTATAATTTTATCGCTTCTCAGACTACTTATACTCGTTACATCCACACAGAAAGCAGATTGCTGAAGGATGTCAGGTTCAAATACCTGTTTTTATCGTTTAATTGTACGTTTGGTCACAAACGGAAATCGGAAGGTTTGAAAGTGAGGCAAAAATCGTAAGATCTTTAACTAATATCTTATGTTTAAGGTCTAAATTCCGTAATTGTCAATCTAAATTCCGTGTAAGACTAGAAGAGCAAGGATATGAAATCAAATCCTACAAGATGATACACAATCATCCATGTAGTAGTTCATGGATGGTATGTGATCCATGGACAAGGAGATTATCGTCAGAAGAAAAAGAGAACTTGGAGCCCGTAATACTTCACTGTGAGTCAGCAGACGAAGTTATCGAGAGTATTAAGGAGAGAACTGGTAAGCAAGTAACTGCTGCCGATGTCAAAGGTCTGAAAGCTACACTCTCCACTGGTAAGTGTATATAAATATATTTCAGGTTGTTGTACTCGGAAGCAAGTTATGGATATGCTTAGACAAAAAGGCGAAGTGAGGGAGCATTTAGAAAATGGATATGCGACGAGAATATGTTTCAGTAGTTAACCAAATACAACTCTATAGGAAATATCCAGAAGTCGTGTGCATTGATTCTACGATATCCCTGCCGTCACATGCTACTTGCCTACGTTAAAAGAAGAAATCTTACAGGTAAGCTATATCAATTATGAAATACTAACTGCATAGCTCATCAACTTCTTAGGTATTGTAGCAGATGGAAGTTACACAATACCCAGAACTTCCAAAATTATACATTACCTGCATTACCACGACGGAGTGAAGTGTATGTAAGTATTCAACGAAGCCAAAGAATCCATAAACATTGCATCATTGAGAAGTATGGTGAACGTTTTGCAACGGAAGTTGAGAAGAAAGTGGACAATTATTACTTAAGAATTCTTAATACCAACTTGTAAACTTGATTTTCTGCTTTTGCAGCAATGATTCTTCAATAAACTTTCATAATTTCAATTTTCATCTTATTCCTACTTTTATGGGAATGAATAGCAATGATGTTCATGTGTAACTGTTTGTAATAATTAAGATTAATTAAGAAACCCTACATCCACGTACAGTTTTGCAGATTAGGCACCCACATATCATATTCACCTTCGTGGGATTACGTTTATCATTAAAATCGTATCAGTACCTATGTACATTTTAAGTTCATGTGATTAATTCCGCTTATGAATCAAAATAAAACCAGGAGAAATGTTGATTAACAGTGGTATGCAATCATTACAACTAAATATGCAATAGGATTTAACAGTGATGTGGGAAACAGTTGACATACCTGAATATGAATAAATGAAATGACGTAGGTTATCAATAGTGACTATATATATATATATGCAGTGTAAGGTCAAAGGTCATTTGCTTTTACAGTCAATAACACATTAAGAATGGGTGATATAATAGTTGACTGCAGTTCACAGACAGATAAGTGGTGTGAAATTCTTATAGCTTGTAAATGATCCGTGGATTTAAGAACTGAAAACTTGAGTTACGTCATAATTGATTACAATTTGCAGAGGTCACGTAATTACAGAGGATTAAGTGACAGGGTGATGGAAAAAATGCGTAACTAAATTTTAAAAGTGAAATGAATTATTACATAATCCTTCTTATTACTTGTTCATTCCATGGATTATAAGGAGTTCATATTATTCTCTATCTATATTTGTTCTAGCGTCATATCGACTATTAATAAATACTGACACGGTTTATAACGTAAGACACTAAGTGTAGTTGCTATATTTATATTTCACTAATTCATTTGTTGAATAAAAATGATTTTAATATGGTCTTCCATAATCACAAATTCTATAAGTTGTAGACCGGCGTAAACATCATCACAAAGCTTTGACGACTTCATTTGATTCATACAATTCTGAAAAACAAACAAATCAGTCGTGAAATAAAGAATTAGACCTAGTTATCAATATCACATTTAATAAGTCATTCAAATAGCAGGTTACAGAATGTACTTATAAGTCTCTTATTTGCAGACAGCGCTAATCATTAGAGATTTCTATTTCCTATAATAAAAATTAATAGGTAATCTTTACAACACACAAATCAGTGTTATTTAAAAATTGCTGAAATCAGGTTCGTCACAACATAGAAGCGTGGTCGGATTTATGAATAAAATGTAATTCAATAATGTGGCATAAAGGCGATATGAATACAAGGAACTTGTGATTCTGCTTCCATTGCTCATTCACCTTTCGTCACGTTGTCTGCATGAATTACTTTGGACGAGTCAGTCTGTAATGCAGTAGGAATTCATGAATTAACTCATTAATAGTTGTTTTTTGATTTAAGTTTGTGTCTTAACAAGCAATGGAAATTTCTTCAGTGTCTAACCCTTGTAGTATTTCGTCTATATATCTGGTATTAGCAGGAGAAATTGGTAAGCACCATTTAGATATTACTCGACAATATGCATCATAACTTTGTTCACATTTTCTTCTGCGATTGTGCATTTCCTTTACAGAGAATTATTCGTCAACCCTCTAACAGACACATCATAAGTCAGTATTAAGTAAGACATGGTTTCGTCACCATGCTCAGAAGAGACACACATCGATTTACTTATGAAGATTTCGTGCATATTTAATGTGGTGTTACACACTATTTCTGTATAAGTTCAGAAAACCGGTAAAAAAGACTATCAACGTCTATTGTTACTCACATAATTTTTCTCTGATACCTTACACAGTAATATGTCACTTCAGTACAAAACAATGCTACCTATAGTCCAAATAACCTTTTATGGCTAAATACAAACAATTTATATAATATTCATAGTTACTTTAACGCTTACTTCTTTCTAATTACATTTTATAAACGACTACCAACATCTGTGTTTGCCGTCACCATAATCAAGGAGGTGAACCATATATAATTCTTTTTACGGCTTATTTTCATGAAAACTCAATCTGTAATCTATTTTTGACTAGAAAAATGGTGATTTGACTTCTTTGACTTAGTATTGTTAAAAAATAACCATATTACGCCAGCTACATATTTACTTAGGTGGTGAGCACGAAATACGTCAAACTGCTTATAAATTGAAACAAAAACTATCTTCCAATCACAAAGATTACGAAAAGTCATGTATGACGGAAAAAAGACTGTTAATAGCTGATAAATAACGACACATAAAATCCACGACAATACGTTACACGTGCGCGAAAACCCGTAAACTAACAAGCATACTGTGCCGATTGGCTGCGAATGACCTTACAAAGGTCTTTCCAGTTAACTAGAAAATACACGTAGAACAAACAAACAACTTAGTGCAGAAAGCCACGAGAGGTTAGGCTTTGAGAGTAGGTAGGGGTGTTAAGTTAAGGTATATCAGAAGAATACACTTTATCAACAGTAGTGATTACTTATGCATACAATTTGTTTCATTTCGCATAAGAAAATCAAACCATTTACTTGTGGATCCTCCGAGTTCATCTTTATTATTTTGTCATGAGTATTAACACTGATAGGTTTTCTCAGACATTGAAAATGTTCAAGCTTAGTGATCACTCTCCGAGTTTCAAAAATCACGTAAACGCTATGTTAAATTCTCTTTCTTTGCCAGTATATACAGTTTTGCCACAAAGAAATCAGCGAGTATACGAATAACGTTTGAAAGTCGAAAACAATTATAGGTCTGAAAAAATCTTCCCACACTGCAAGTCTTTTGAACCAATCGGCATCTTTCTCCAACTCGTGAGGATTAGCCACTGACTAATCCAATCACCCAATATAATGCTTCTTTTAATCAAAACACGCAAGTTTTCACCACTAGATAAATTACCTAAAAGACAATTCGAAGAATAATAGGAAGTTTGAAGAATTATTGTGGATGTGAAATCGAATGCAACGTATAGGGAAGAACATTGATTTTGAAATTTATGTATTAATTTACTGAGGTTTTAGCTTAGTGAGTTCTGTTCAATGAATTTCAGTCGCATTAATTTACTCTGCATTCAGTTAGTTATTTGATTTTTAATGGACTGTTCTTGTAGTAATCTATTTACTGTAACTTTGTGTTCAGTGACAGTTGTTCAAATAATGAAATTCTGTAACTGACAAATATAGAATAATTGATATACAAGGTAGCTGATTTAAGTGCAATCTGATTTATTTAGGACTACCTCCCCCTGTTGGGAAAGCTTGGACAATTACAGCCATCCAAAATGTCTCTTGTATTAGGTTCGAAGATATATTTGATAGGCTGTCGATGTTTCGGGACTTGACAAATCTATTCTGGTCAGCGGTTGCAGGAGATGTGTAGCACGGAGTACCCAATCGTGATCTGGTGCGGATGCGTAACTGAGCACCTGCAGCTAGGTGTATCCACCACAACTAATGAGGTTAGCTCAGTGTTTAAGACTTACAGAACTGTTGATTTTGGGGATTTATTTACTGCTAGAACAGTAAGGTTGATGGATTAGTAGTTGTTTTGTAACTACATAGATCTGAGCCTTAGCTTTTAACGAAGAGTAATGGAATGAGATGATAATAAATTAAGATCTAATGTCTTCATGTCGAGCCACTGTCAATTAAAAGCGTTTTTATACATTCATTTCCTGACGTAAGAACTGTTTACTGGCTTTGAGCCACTCATGAACTACAACACTTGCCACCATGATGGTTCGAATGTCTAAAGTATCAATAACTTCATTCACCATATTGCAGAAGAGTTTCTCGAGCTTCCAACTATTATGATAAACTTGCAATGGGAGTGATAAAAGTTGGATAAAGATGTGTGGAGAAAAGTAAAAAATTGAGATAAATAAATGAAATGAGTTGAATATTATAGCATGGCGGTGATATTTGGTGTTTTCGTGGGACGTATTCCCGAGAATAACTGTAATGGTGATAGTAAGGATGAAAATTGTGAGTTGTGAGACAAACTATATGGACGATATTTTGGTATGTAAAGGTCACTAACTGTTGACAGGTAACACTGATCTCTGTTCATTTTGAAAGACATTAGGCCAAGTATATGTAAACGGGATCAACATACTACTAAAATAAAGTTCGTCATCAGTAAACGTTTCTTCGTGAAAACATTCTGATGGGTTTGACGTAGTCTGTTTACTCTATAAATCGGTAGCTGTCGTATTTCGAAAGAGGAAAAGTGAAGCTTACGTATATAGAAAAGTAAATGGGACATAACAAACCACGAATGTCATGTTTAGAATTATTTCACTTTATTCATAGTTTGCAAAATAGCAACATTTAATTTTGTTCATACGTTCAAATGGTTTAGGACGGAAGAGAAGAAGGTATTGCTTAACGGGCTTCCATTTCTAGTAGCGGTAGTTCAACAATACCTCCAAGCAGGAACCTAGGTATACTTTTCATGCCTTTAGGTAACACTCGTGCTATCGATAGGAGAAACCAGACAAATAATAAATAGGTCTTTATTTAGATCTTCTCGCAGTCACAAACAAAGCCTCTCAACATTGAATGTAGGATTATAGGAAATATAACGCCTAGTCAAAATAAGGAAGTGAATGAATAATTGAACTATACTGTTTTGACATATGCTTAGTTGTTAGAGGTGAACTCTTAACCAATCAACCTAAGCTGTTACAGGTTTACCATAACAGAAGAAAAAGAAATTGGCAAAGCAAAGTAAGGTGTCACCCTTAGTTCTTAGGAATAAGTCAATTTTCCTCTTAAAAGACTCGTGGGATGTCACTTGAACTAGCTCAGCCGGCAGCGAATCCCGGCATTTGACTGCTAGTAAGGAGAAGATGATGTGTCTACAGTCCGTTCTGCCATATTATGCCTCCAGTTTCTGTGGGTTGCCCCTTGGGTTTGTGTTGGAGCTAAACTGAAGTAGGTGTCCAAGGGGATGTTCAGAAGTGCTATGGATACTGTAAGCAACTAGAACGTCACATCTAAGATCCCTATACTCTAAAGGGTAAAGGGTTAGTGATTGGAGACGCTCTGCATAAAGCTTGAATTTGAGTCTTTTATCTGATTTCGTGGCCCACATTTGGATACGATCCAGAATGCACTTATCCTTTTGGAGTGAAAAAGGGAATACTATGTTTCCGTACTCTAAATGGGGACGAATTAAACTGTTGAAGATTATGAGGAAATTTTTTCCATTAAA